AAATATACCTAATAAAACAAGAAGAGGAAGGGCGAAATGGTCCAAAATACAAGAAAATTTTGTATACAAAAATGTTTGTAGCCAAATTTGGGCTAAATCAGGAAGCATTAACCCAGATAAGAAGCAAGAATATTTCCTAAGTTAACTAATTAACTAATGTTTCTAATCCTTTAAATATTATTTTATAAATATTAGATTTTGTGACTATTATCTATCAATAGGACTTATTATATTGATTTAACTGACTTGCGTATGAAATTAGAGAGATTGAATCAGTCCCTTGGTTCAAATGAACAAACTTTTATTTGCACTGAAAAATATGCGCTTTATTAGTATGAGTCCGAAAATGCATTTCCAATATTAATAAAACGTATATTTTTAAATTTGATCTCCGACTCCATTTCATCACTTAACCAACAAGGTGTGATAAGTCTGTGCAATCAGCAAATTTGGGATACATGAGAAAGTATATGAAAATTTTTCCCATTTTATAATTAATTTTTTGGTTCTTTTGGCTTTTCGTTTTAAGTTCTATAAAATTATAACTGTTTATTTTAAATGAGGGAATTTCCTAAAGATAGAAAACTCTGCCTTGAAAATAATCGGCTTTATTTCCTAATATTCTAGTTAAAGTTATTATTTTCGAGTTCAACAAAAATGTAACTTTACGAAAAAAAGGAAATCACAATTATTTAACTAATATACATAAAATTAACATCGTATTACATAAAAATTATTATAAAATACAACGCAGAATTCCCTCCTTAATCACAGAAAGAACGGCTGAAGATGGAGTTATTACTCTAATTTTATGAAAAATTAATTTATAAAAAACTTATTTATTTGCTATTATCAATAATGATAACAGATTAGAATATTCTAATTTTCCTTTAATAGAAGGTAATATTATTATAACTGTTATAATCCTGCAATGTGGACAAAATCACGTAATTAGGATCGCTTAAAACGTTATAAAAACATCAAAAAATACAAATTTTTGCATTTAGAGAATAATTTTTCTGAATTCAGGTCATATCTTTTTTTAAACAGAATTTGAGTAACATTTTTAGTTTGTCCTACTAATAGAATAACATTTAATCTTTTATCAGTTCGAGTTATGGAAGCTAAGTTTTCATCTCATACTTCATTACAAAAAATAATAATGATAATAAATTAGTAAAGGTCATTGTTTCATATGTTGTCTCTCTCTCTTTCTTGTTTTTACAGCTACTAGACTCTAGTAGTAATAACTTGTCAGGAAAAAAACAAGCTTTCTCTATATTTGTTTAAATCGTGTGTATTTCTAAACTTGTTACACACGCTTGAGATAGCGCAGCTTATCTGGATTTTTTAACAAATATAATTAAATCTTAAACAAGTCTGAAAAATAATAGCGAAATAATTTTAACTGATTTTTTTCAGTTAAATGTTTTGTGATTCCTAAAATACGTCTTTATATGAGTTTATTAATAACACATTATTAAAGTTTGTTTTATTTCTACTAGTACTAAATTAAACATATTTTCCTTAACAATAAATTTAAAAAAAACTCTTTTTAATATAACCTGCAATTATTATGTATAAAAATACAATTGAAATAATGTAATTTTATTTATATTATGTATCTAAAAATAGAAAGATATTTTAGTATCTAAATAAACGTCGAATCATACAGTAGTAGGCCCTAAATAACACTTAACTGATCATTCTAGGATATAAGTGAATTTTAAAATGTTTCTGAGCTTTGTTAAATTTATTTTAAAGTGATAATATATATTTAATGCAAAGCATTCAATCAAAACAAAAATATATCTTCAAAGTGATGCTTCGATATATTACTAAAATACTTTCAACAAGTTTTAGTTCGTGTTTAGGACGCATTAAAATAAGAGTGTTTTTTTATATTCTATTTAGAAACTAAATTATTACAAATCTAAATGATACGCCACTGTTATACCGAGGGTTTCAAGAACAAGTTACGATTTTCCTGTCGAGGAATTCATACAAGGAAACCATTTAAGTGAAATTTAGTTATTTTTAACTATGCTTAAAAAAATCATCATTTATTTTAAAAAAGCATAAGGTAAATTTAAAGCTCTATGCCTTTTTAAAAAAATAAATAATGGAATTGATAAAGCACGGTCATAAGTAATTGTAAATCATAAATAATTGTTTAATTTCTTTCCTCCTATAAGTTGACCTACATTCTTATGCGTTTGAAAATTAGCCTATAACACAAATTTTCTGACAATTTAAATTTAACTTTATCTTCGAACGAAATAATAACTTTCCTACACTTTCACCTAGACTCTTAGGTGAAAGTGTAGGAAAGTTTTTATTTCGTTCCTTTTCCTCCTTTTTTATATTTATAGAAACAAATATAAATCAATAATTTACAAATATTTTCAACTAAGGTTTTTCTGATTGTTTATTTTAAATAATTGTCTTGTTTGAATAAATAAATTAAGTGTTATATTATATTTTATATTATAATTAAACTTGTAAATCTCTTTAACATGCACGATAGAAATTAATGATGTGTATTTGAGTCACTCGATATCATTTTGAGAGCTTCAGATAGCGATCAAGAACAGGTTCATACTAATTATATCAGTAACCAATAATAAATGATACAGAATCATCGTTTTTTAGAACATTTTTTAAGGATATGTTCTAAATAAAAGTCGCAGGAATATTTTTCTGATTACAGTTATGAATTTGTTGCGAAATTCATTCTTCCTCCTTCTTTCATTGTATAGAGCGTTAGATATAATCAATGATAAGAAGAAAGCTGTTGGAGTAGAATACGATTACATAATTGGTAAGGGAATGATATATACTTTACATAATATTTATAATTCATTGAAGTTCGAATATTTGTTATCAGAGTTACTCTATCTGCATAATTATGTCTTTATTTAATCGTATTTCGTTTACAAAAAGATGTACAAGGTTTGACAATAAAGTTCCGGGACTGATGCTGGTATCTGAAAAGTTGAAGTCACCGTAGCAAACCGTAGTCAGAATTATTCAACGAGTCTTTCTTATATTCGATGCACTGCTTTGCCCGCTTCAGGAGGTCTCCAAAACTGATTTTTGAAGTCATTCTCTGGAATGCACTAACGGATTTCTTGATATCCTGAACAGTCCTGAAATTCTGTTCCTTCAGTGCCAGAGTTTAGAGTTTAGGAAATAGGATTAAGTCGGCGAGAGCCAATGGGAATAAAGTGGATGGTTGAACCTGGAGACCCCACGCTTCGCTAAGAACTGTCATAATTAAATCTGCTTTCATCTCACACGTTAAACATTCTGCTGTCATTACCAGTAACAGAGTACCAGGTCCTTCAACTTTATTGTTAAACCTCGTATTTATATTGTTACTACAATATCGAACTGTTCAATACTTACCATTTGAGTTAATTTTACGTACTATAACACTTTCTGTATACTTAGCATATATTTTTCGTATAAAATTTGCTAAATCTTTTTAATGCAGTAGCTTTTTACGTTTATATCCCTCTAATATATTTTCTATATGTTTTTTTTTTCGCTTAATGATAAACTTGATAAATTTTGAATCCTAATAATGAAATTTTTATCCCTACTTTTAACTGCATAACGAGTTCACTCGTTGATATGCTCTAAAAAGCAAAATCTTTAAACCTTTTTTTAATATCTATGACTAAATTGTTTACTAATTGCTAACAATACTAGATACTGTAGTAGTAAAACATTGGGAGAAAATACATAGGCCTATATTACAGATTCTAGATATAATAACTATTAACATAAATATCATTTATTGATAATGCGAATGGTTATTAAATGTTTTGATTGAAGAAAATAAATTAGTATAAATATTTGTTTTCAATATTTTAAAATAAATTATTATTAGACTATAATTATGGTTATTATTGTTATGATTTTGGTGGTGTTAACTATCCTTCTCTTACCGTTGTCTAGTATTACACCTGAACAAGGTCAAGGCATAGCAATCACAACAAAACAAAAATCAAATAAGTGTGTCAGTATGTGTGCCTTTATTCACGAATTTCCTAACAATATGTATTCAATATGGTTGCCTTCTGTAGTGTGATTATATATTTCTATTCAACTGTAATGTTTCCAGGCTTTTGTGTAGTGTGTTTATTATTATTATTATTAACTACTTTATATTATCAGAGAAAGAAATGGCTAAGATGAATTACATTCACGCAATAATTTTTTATATATAGTTCTCTAAACGTTTAAATAGGCTTAGACATTAAGTACAGGATAAATACTTATAAAAAAGTTTTATAAAATATGTAGTTTATAAGCTTACAGTATATTGTATTATGTACACACATAGAATAAAACATATCATATATATATTTATATAAACGATATATAGACTAATGAATTGCTTCATAACGATAAAATACTGAATGAAGTGTTTCAGAAATATCTTTTCTCTTCCTCAAACACTCCATCTATCCGATCGGTATCTAAAATGTTTTCTTTGATGTAATCCTATAGAATTGAATTACTAAAATCATTGATTAGTCTTAAAAGAAATGTAACTTTATAAAATAATGTGTTTTGAAATGATAAATATATTTATTTTTATATTGAAATAATACAAAACAGCATAGAATGTTATATCTATGTCATTTGAAGTAGGCTAAATTGTCTTAAATAAAAAATGAAAAGAAGTCCAGTGAAAACGTGCAATGAGTACATTTTTAGATTTGATTTAATAAGTAATTTAATCTTTAAAAATTAAAAATATTAAAAACTAATTTAGTTAATTAATTTTTTCTTTACAAAAACATTAGCTTTAAAATTCAAATTTGTATTATGCTTAAAACATTTTAACGGACAAATATGTCTATATTAATATAGGTCTACACAGGTATAAGGTAGACAATCAATGACACATTTTACTTTGTATAAAGCATTAATTTTCAAACTTTCAAGTTACAATAATCGAAAAATTGGGTAATATTATCATTGTGCAGTTGGCGGAGGGACAGCAGGCTCAGTTCTAGCTAATCGTTTATCGGAGAATCCCGACAATCATGTTCTTCTTTTAGAGGCTGGAAGTAATGAAAACAAACAAACTGATGTTCCTGCTAACACAATTGGATTGCAGATGAGCCCTCTCGATTGGGCATATAAAACAGAACCACAGAAATTTGCTTGTTTTGGATTGAATGGACAGGTACGAATTATTGTGAATTATGTTATATCTTAAGTATATAATATATTACTTTGTAAACTGCTTCGAAATTAAGCAATCAAGATGGCCTCGAGGAAAAGTATTAGGTGGTTCCAGCGTTTTAAACACCATGGTATTCTCCAGAGGCAACCATAAAGATTACGATAATTGGGCCAGAAATGGTGCGTATGGATGGAGTTGGAAGGAAGTTTTTCCGTATTTTCTTAAATCAGAAGATAATACAGATATAAATTTGTTGAAAAATGGTAAATATTTGAAAATTAATTTTAATAATTTATAATTTTCTAAATAGACTATATAAGTCTATTTAGAAAACAAAAGTACTTTTGTTTTAGTTATGTCATGTAACTTAATCTACTAACATAGCAGGAAAATAAAACACTTAATTGTTTCCTTTAACTAATTATCTGTAGATTTTACTGTAAAAACAATTCCCATTGCACTTTTTAGAAGACACGGATTGTACTGTATGTACATTACTAGCACTTTAAGTTTAAAAATGAATGCATATGTAAATAACCTACATATGCACCAAGTCTTAAACTTTTTCCATTCACTTTTGAATACGTGGCCGCCGTTATATAGGTATGTAAAGTAGGTATATAAATAAAATTTCTTACTGATAATAAATCATGAAACAATTTATTCCAAAATTATTTTGGATATATATGTTATTTTATCATTTAATGCCATTTATAAAAGTCCAAAGCAAATTTGCATACCATTAAGGAGAATATGCTTGTCTATTTTCATATAGAGAATTAAATGTTAGTTAAAAATTTGATACTTCATCTTCAACATCTTTTCAGAGATAACTGATATTTTGATTTTTATAATCGTCAATGCTGAAAACGCCATTTTATCATAAATAATACAAGATTTTACTGTTGTTAAATTTTTCTCGAATCCCATGTTCAATTAGATACCCTTTGGGGTCGCGACTCACAGTTTAAGAAACCCTGGGCTATACGATAGTATAGTTAGATGTTAGATGTCATTAGTTAGATAGATAGTCTAGTAGTTAGATGGCTTTCAATTAGTGATGTAACGAATATTCGGTTACTATTCGGTATTCGGCCTATTCGGCCTATTTTTCATTATTCGGCCGAATACAGAATATTTAATCACTATTCGGCCGAATACCGAATACCTAAAAACAGGAGTAATAACTAACAAAAACACAGTAAATTAATCGTTTTTGTATTTAGATTTAATGTTATCGAGTTAGTGTTGTTTGTTTATATTTATTTATAACTTGTAACATGCACAAAATAAAAAAGAAAATAATATTAGTCACATGTATTCACAATTTATAATTACAAAGATCAGCACACGTACACGTCTACCTGCCTATCCTTCTTTTTAAGCGCTCGTCTTTGCTCTTCCCTTTCTCTTACCTCTATCGCTCTAATCCACGTATGCCTGTGCATACATCATAATACGCGCGCACGATACTTTCGATTCGTCACTTTCCCGTCGTAGAGTTCCCATTTTACAATTACGTGACTCAGTCTGGTGATAACGGAGAAAAGAGACAGATAGGACATCGATATAAGTCACAGTTATGATTTCACAGATTCGAGACAGCTTCATAGCCCGAATGGCCCCAGGCTTTCGCCCGTGGACGCTAAGTGACTTTCATTACAAGCATTTAACTTCCCAAAGTCTATGACAATAATTGTTTGGCATTGACGGCCGCGAATTTCGTGCCAATAAGCTGCCTCGACTCGTTCGATTATGTTATCAACTCAATTTCATATTTATTTTCACATTTTCACTTCGCGGTCCTTCTCTGTTCTTTTTCCGTTATTTACACGTGTAGGTCATTTCATCGTTATCCACATTTGATATCATCATTTATCACATACTTCCATGACACTCTTGTCTGTCCGCTACAACTGCCAAGAATTAACGCGATTGGCGAAGCGTAGTGACAGCGAGCCAATAGAGAGCAGGATCCTTGCCATAATGCGGTTTGCGCGCCAATTTGCGTACGTGCGTTAATCGAGCCGAATAGTTTGGCCGAATATTCGGCTATTCGGCTACGCTCCTGGCCGAATATTCGGTATTCGGCCTGAGGCCGAATATACTATTCGTTACAACACTACTTTCAATACATTCTATATAGCTCATTACGTATTAAAAACAATATTCTTGTGATTATACATGTTTAAATATACGTTTGTTTTAAAGTTTTTTTATATCGTTAAATATTCTTAGCAAATTTTTCAGGATATAATGTATGAATTTTGCCTTAGTCTCTTTCATTATCTTAAAAATTATTGCATAATAATAAACATAATAATGCATTTTATTATCTTTTAGTCTATCAATAAGTTTATATAAATACCTTAAGTATATTCTATTCAATAGACGCCCGGGCATCTATTTGACAGAATATATTAATACTTAGCCCTAAGCGGCGTTTATTACATTCGCGCAGAATTTCTTATCCAAATATAGTTTGGATGAGAAAACCAGTAATATAAAAAGGGAGAAAAACAGTTCATCCTTCTTTCCACCACTACCACCACCAACAACGTGTTTTTCCCATTTATTCTCTCTTCCAAATAATGAAAACGGCGAGTAATTAACGAGAAATTTTTCTTTTTATTTAACAGAAAAGCAGACTACTGCACACACAACAGCATTACTACTGTATGCATAAAGTCATTACATTATTACAGTACAGTAATACCTCGACTTACGCTACCCCGACTTACGCGAATCCGGAGTTACGCGATTTTCAAATCTCGCCGATTCGTCTTTTGTTTGAGCGCCACGCAACTCTTGATTACTCACTTCCCCCCACACTATTGTTCAGCTTACATGTTCGGACGTGTCGTGCGGAATCGACACATAGCTACAATTTATTTTGTGTTATTTATTTCTATGTTTGTTATATCTACGGAGACTTGAGAGACTCTATGTGGTGATTTCTTGTAACCGTGAACGAATCAAAAGACGAAATAAGATTAACGAGAACATTTATTAGCTTACATACATCCGACTTAGATTTTACACAAATTGCGAAATTATACCCCGACTTACGCGAATTCGACTTACGCGGTTATCGCTTGGTCCCACCTATCGCGTAAGTTAGGGGTATTACTGCATCGTATTTTTCTAGTCGTTTTCTGCTAGCTGTGAACACAGCATTTTCTTTATCACTTTCATCTAACTGGGTGAAGATTTCTTTTCCTCGTCCATACCCATGGAGATACGGTTATTTTTCTATCGCTGCTCTCGGATATACTACAGAACTTTTTCTTTTAATTTCTCGCTGATTTTTTATGCTCTCGTCTTGCCAGCCTCTTTGCTTCACTCTTATTCTGGATTGCGTTAAGAATATTACGCTTGCTCCTCCACTCTTCGAATTCGCTTTGAATGCACTTTGAATCTCCTTGCTACTGCTTCTCCGGAACCATTCTCCGGAGTTGTCTTTTGCGTACGCAACTGCGTTCAGTTTAAAGGCAACGCTATAATGCCTATTCATTGTCAATCCGATCGACGTTTAGTCCACTAATCTGTGTAAAATGGAGAGTTCGAAAGAGGAAATACAGGAAGATACACCCACTCACATATTATTTACTATATACTTCAATTGCGCTCCATGTTGTGGTAAAAACATCTTTTAAAGGTTCCCTGGGGAAATTACCATAGAACGTACAGAACATTCTTAAGCTTTGAGAGCTGCGTGTAGAAATTTCTGTTTAACATTTTAAATTAAATGTTTAGCGTTTATAGGAGACCCGGAGTCTATTGGCTGATTTAGGGTATTTAAGCTAGTTGAGCTGCAATTTAAAAGAATTGTAGACCTATAAATTTCCATCGTCGTTTGTCTGCTTGTCTGTCCTTCTTTAATATCGAGAGTTAGAGAGATAAAACAAAAACAAATATGGAAAAATTAGGGAAATGAGGCCCCGATTAACTATAAACTATCGTTCGAATTAAACTGAGAATTACTTATTTCAATTCAAATTTCCCTATGAACGGCGACTCTTGTTAAAGGAAAAGTATGATGTACAGGAGCAGGGGCAAGACACTACTAATTTGAAATGAGAGCATATATTTTAAATTAAATAAGTTAAAAATATAGTTAAAAATTGCAGCCCGACATGTCACAATAAATAATTGCTCGTTTCTAGTTAAGTAATTTAAAATATTCGCTTTATAGTATGGATGTTTATTATCGTTATCCAAAGGATATCATGCTACTGGTGGATATCAAACCATTTCATCTCCAAGATTCGCTAGTCCTCTTCAGGCAGCATTTTTGGAAGCTGGAAAATTATTTGGATATCCTACAATAGATGTTAATGGTCCAACTCAAACTGGTTAGTAACTCAGACTTTCTATTATTTTTACTCTTCTGTTAAATAACTCAATTCTATCAAACGTAAGTATTTATTGTGTTAATACGTATGTAATTCATCTATAGAATTCACTTTCATCGTGTATTAGATGTAAACATTTAATTTAAAATGTTTCAAATTTGAATATTTTATAAAACTTTAACATCATGTTTAAAATTTCTCAGGTTTTAGCCCTGGACAATCGTTTTCCAGAAAGGGAAGGAGATGTAGCACGAATAAAGCATTTATAAGACCGGTTCAACACCGTCCAAATCTTGACATTTTGCTCTTTTCGTTCGTCACTAAGGTAAATAAGTTAATTTCTTTTATACAATTCATTTCAAAGGTTGATATTATAATTAAAATATTAACGTACAGAGTTCACATAAGTCTCTAACTATAGAAATTATCTTGATTTTTGTTTGTTTTTTTACAGCTAATGCATGGCGCTGACAAAACAGTAAACCCTGTGAAATAATATTTAATGTTTTATCAGTACAATACATTCCCATGAGATCCGCATCCTCTGCGCCAACAGAGTTTACTGTTTGCACAGAGGATGCGGATGGCAATAACGAGTATTCCGTTTTGGCAGTCGTTTCAATCGTTAAAATTGTGTGGATCAGTTTTGGCAATCGGTTTACGGATTTTCTACTTTAAGTAGTCCTTGAAAATCTAATTGATCTCCAAATATTAAAGGCAATTGGAGGCCGTAAAGCATTCTGTTAATATGGATTTCTCTAACTAACGTGTTTTACTATCACTTTTAATCAATCAGTCAACGTGCGTCAACGTGCGTTTTAACCAATATAAATACTTTTATAAATCTGCTAGTTGATTGTGGAAAGCAGCGAAAAGTATAAAAATCTCATCTATCGTATAGATGATTCTGCAAAAATACGATTATTGAATTTGCTTTTTGAATCATACGGATTTCGCTTTCTCGGGGATTGTGAAACAAACTTATGGATGAATGAATTTAAGTAATTTTGATGATGGAAATCTGTAGTCAGCGTAAAAGTGCCAACAACTTCATTAAATGATACTTGTAAAATAGCCTATTTTGTAGTTATAAAAATTTAATTCTAAAAATAATGACATTGTTTTATGTTTTTTCTAACCACTAGATCAAATTTTAATATATAAAATATTATCCAAAATATAAATTATTTATTTAAATTAATTTTAATCTATTATTTATGTAGATTGTCTTCGATGAATTTAAGAGAGCCATAGGAGTTACTTTCGATCGTTTCAATCAAACATATTTTGTCAAAGCCAGGAAAGAGATAATAATATCAGCAGGTACTATAAATTCACCTCAGTTGCTAATGCTTTCGGGTATCGGACCTAAAGAAGATTTACAACGTTTACGGGTAATTACAGTACTTTAAATTAATTAACCTTTCAAATGGCATGATGAAAATTATATTATTTTGATAGATTCCAGTTATTTCAAATCTTCCAGTGGGTTTAAATCTACAAGATCATATCTTCCCATTAGGACTGGATTTCTTAATTAATAAACCGATTTCAGCGGTTCTTCAACGATTTTTCACTCCAAAGGCGCTGCTACAATATTATATTGCAGGGAGAGGTACTGTACGATAAATTCTTAAATCATATTATTTTCAAACAGTAATAATAAAACTGAAATAATCATTTTTTCAACAGGGATTTTGACACTTTCTATCGGAATAGAAGGTATAGGATTCATAAACACTAAGTACGCAAATCCAGCCGATGATTACCCTGATATTCAGTATCATTTTTTATCTGGAGGAATGGCTTCTGATGGAGGAAAACTATTTTTTCCTGCAGCAGGATTGAAAAGAGAGGTCAATAAATATTTATTCATTTAATGCATAATAAATAATACGATTTATAAAATGATAATATATAAGTTTGTTTTTCAGATATATGATTTATATTATAGTCCATTCGAATATGACGATGCATTTTCTATATTTCCTGTTTTGATTCATCCCAAAAGTCGTGGATACGTTAAATTAAGAAGTGCCAATCCTTACGAACATCCAATTATTCAACCTAATTACCTATCTCATCCCGAGGATATTTTAAGAATTGTTGATGGTAAAAACTTATAATAAATTATATATTTTATAAACTATTAAAGTAATTTTCACTACATTGAACACATCATTGATGCTAAAATATTTTTCTTAAAAAATTGAAATCTTCCTGATTTATAAATAAGCGTATTGCAATTATTTTTATTATTAATTTTATCTTATTCTGAAAATTAACCAAGCAGTACAATTAATATAAATTTTCAGTTTAGAAATTTATCCTGTATTATATAACAAAACCTCACTTATGTGCCCTTCGATGTATACAGTTTCTGGCTGTATAAGGGCGATGGTATTAAGTATCTATTGGGGAAGTGGGGCAAATAGACACGTCCTAATGTTTTCTAGATTTTTCGAAATTAAAAGTAGCAAAACTGAGTTTAGTTCAGTAAGATATCAGGGTCATATCACACCTAGAGTGGTGTAAAAATGAAATTTTATCGGTGTCGCTGTAACGGACGAAAATCTCCTCCCTATTTGAAACTGGAGAAGTTGTAGACGGAAAAGAATAGCGACTGTGTAGAAGTTGACAATCTGTCGAGAAGATAGACGAAGATAATTTGTTCTAACGAAGTATCAGTTGTTCTGGGATGTCGAGAAGAAGGGAAGAGCGAGTCGGTGTTTCTCGCTCATCAGAAAGGAGCGAAGACAAAAGACTTATAAACTCCAAAATAGAAGAAACCTTAGAGTACAAACCACGAATAGACAGTAATCACAGATTAATACTTTCATTAGCCGTAATAGTCGTCAAATTCAGTTGACGTGTGACAGTCAGTGATAGAAACTGACGAAATGTTCAGTAATAGGTCAGGTAAGAGGTATATACAAAGAATTACAATAATTGCGTGCCTTGCAGATATGTGTATAAGCCGCATTCAAAAAAAAATACAGTAGGCCTATATGATTATGGTAACGATTTTATTTTGCTTTGTAAAATAGCATATTGAATATTTTAATATTTAATTTTTTTATCTGTTAATTCGTAGTTCTATTAATATATTATTCTATTCTTCTATGCTCAGTCGGAATTTTTTACTAGAAATTTTGGATTTATAATTGTGATTTGTTTCATCTCACACAATGTTTTGTTCATTCTTCTTTCAATTGTATTAGGTTTAATCTTGTGAATGTGCACATACTTTGTAATGACAGATATTACTGATTTTTCAATTACTACTTTAACTATGATATAAAATTCTTTAGTTTCATGGCATATGTACCAATCTTCTCAATATAACTCTTGTGTCCTTAGCATGTCCACTTGCCACATTTTTCTTTTCACTGATTGTTTATCTATCATTTGTACATTAAATAGTTTTAATTGTCATAAAATTTTTATGATTTCAGATAAATTTCATTCTTAATTTTCTCTTATTAAATACTCAACTACTTAAATGAATTTCTAACGAAAGGTTTTAGCAATGATAAACAAGTAATACCATCCCTAAATAAAATTGCTTTAGTTAAATCTCGAGATGAGGTTATAATATTTAAATCTAAATTAAATACTTCAAATTGTATAGTAGTACATTCTACGGTTTATTATTAATTTATTAATATTGTTTTGATTTTAGCCATGAAACAGGGAATGAGTTTAGGAGAATCCTTGCCTTTTCAAAAGTTGGGATCACGACTTTTACCCACTGTGGTTCCTGGATGTGAAAAATTTCCAAAATTAAGCGAAAGATATTTTGAATGTGTGGCACGAACATTAACATTCACAATTTATCATCCTGCTGGAACATGCAAAATGGGCGCTATTGAAGATCTAACAACTGTGGTTGACCCTGAATTAAGGTCCAAATTAAAATTAATTCTATAAAATCTTATTTAATAATATAGCATAAAGGCATACTCGTGCATTTCTTTTACTTTAAATTCAACGACCAATTGATTCTAATTTTTTTAAAAAGTTATTTTTTTTAACAAATTAACATTGTATATATTTACATTATTGTTTGATATTTAGAAGGTAATAGAAATCTCCATATATGAAAAGTCAATGCAAACAATATTGTTTTAATATGTTTTTAGGGTGAAAGGTGTTTCGGGTCTACGTGTAGTCGATGCGTCTATAATGCCAAATATTGTCTCAGGAAATCTGAATGCACCTGTAATTATGATCGCTGAGAAGGCTGCAGATATGATACGAAGAAGTAGATCTTAAAATTGGAGCTACTTTTAGAAATTTATTGCCAATTTGTATATTTTAAATAATTAAGTTAACAATAAAAATTTAAATATTTTATAAGAAAAGTATGTGTGGTTTTGCTTCAGTTCTTTACTATAAAGTAGGATGTACTGTAAATTATTACATATGTTTGTTATATATATTTATAAAGTAATTAAATTAACACAACGTTCAATTTAAAAAAAAATCTATTTCTAGAATTTGTATTTATATTTATTTTTAGCAATTAAATGTCTTGTTAAATTATTCACAATATTTGTAATCTGTACTTTTAATTGATTCTTTCATGTTGATCATAGAGCAATAGAAAATAAAACACTTTAAAAATTAACAATAATTGTGGAATAGCTGTTACGCTATTACCTAGTTACATTGTACGGTGTACAGTGTACGCTGTTATTCATTATTTGAAGTTGTTTGACTAGTTTAATATGTTGAATTAAAAATTCGTTTGTCGTAAAACGAAAATAGTCTTTGTTAATCCGGCATTCTTTACAGAGGGATACCAGATTAGCGAGAATGCCGGATTAATGACTAAGTGTGTACAGGACTAAAGGAAATAAATTATGTGATCCGTCGGCTTTTAGTACTGAAACTTTTTGGAGACAGGTGGTAAATAATACAGTGAGCTGATAGGCAACAGCCTGCTATTCAATGAAATGAAACCTGAGTAAACAAATAAAAAGGCTACTTTAAGTGACTAACATTTTCATGGAAACGGAAGCGCAAAGACAATCACTACGGATATGCCGAAACAGATTATGGATTGCTGGATTAGCAAGAGTTTACCAGAGTCGTTTTGCACGGACAACATCATATGTACATTCAAATTGCGGATATATGTATAAAGATTGTATTCTGATGTACTATCTTGTCCACACATTTAGACAAGATGAGAGAGAATGTCTTAAACTTTCTTTTATTCGAAGCATGTTATTTGGAGTATATGGTATATGTAATAAAGAAAATTACATTAACACTGTTTATTGCATTAAAATTTTGAGTCATATCTTCACTCATTCAGAAGTTATCGTCATTTTTCTTCACAAGTTTTATATTTCGAAAAGAAGCTTATGACAGATTTTTAAATTATTCGTGATGCATAATTCCTAAATGCTAAAACATAAAATTCACATAATTTTAAAAAGTTTTTATATTATTAATTAGTATAAAATGGCAAAAAGCTTAATTTTAAGGGTAGAGATGAACTTTATACACATTTGTAAATGCTAATAACGAGTAAAATGTTCATTAAGTCATATACACAATTTTAATTGTATATGGCGCAATCTTTTATGAGATTTACCACGAAAGTCACGAAACACGTTGCTGGATTTTTTTTCGTTGTTTACAAAGTAAGTTCTGAATGCCTTTCAATGGGAATCAATGTCAATGGGAATGTCTTTCTTGGAATCTGGCCTTCTCTCCTGCCTCTGCCTCCATTGTTATATTTCAATACATATGTATACATATATCTTCGTTATATGTAACATGTATATATAAATATATCTGTAACTATATTATATATTGCTTATATATTTGTAATATTGTAAATTTTAATTTCCAATTTGTAATATAATTAAATTGTTATTTTACAATTATAAATGCTTTTCACATTTATAAAAGGAGATTTTGATAAAATGTTAAAATAAATTAAAATTCAAATATTTAAAAGTATATATTATTTATTCGTCTGCTAGTTTATTAGTAATTTGTATTTCTTTAGTGAAATGCTTGTTTTTCTATTGTTTCAATAATTAGCAAAACATCATTTACTGTACTTTTTTCAGAAAAATTGGTGTACTTTTATATAATATGTTTTGTTTTGAGAAGACAAAATCTCTACTTTTTAATTTGATTAAGTTAGGGGAACTCGGGGCGTAATGGGGTAGCTAACGAAGAAGTTAAAATTATGTCAACAGTAAAAGAAAAATAACAAAAATATTACATTATATCCTTTATTTATTATATTTAGCACATAATTATTTAAATTAGATTAAAAAAAATTAATAATTTTATATGAAAAATAAATCATTAAATAAAAGCTTGCTCACATCCCGTTCCGCCCTGCACTTGGAACGGAATGGGGTATGAGATTAGTGCTTAAATATTAGAAAAAAATATTAGTCTTGTTGCTTACAAAACTCGCAAACCAGCACGAAATCGTCATCGTCGCTGTCAAAACTCGCACAAGACATATGAGCCCATTTTTGCATGCGACACATGAACACCAACACTCAATCGACTGTGAGTAAGCCTCGGTGCAGTAAGGACAAGTCGTATCATCATCATCTTCCGAGTAATTGTCTCCTTGTTCTTTTTTTACCAGACTTTGTTTTCTTTTCTTTTACAGGAAACCATCCCATTGTGCCTCCCTCACCCGTTGTGCGTCTCTCACCCGTTGTGTCCCCATCACCCGTTGTGTCCCAAAACATATGCTTCTAAAAATCAAGTAGCGAAAAATGTTTATGATTACTTTATGCGTTATTTCATTGTAATAATACAAACAAAAAAATCTTTAATAAACTAGACTAAATAAATTTGGTTAAATTATAAAATATACCATACACTTTCATTGTTTTAATGTTGATGCACATGTAATTTCATCAAAAAATCACGACGCAAGGTTTTATTGGTCAACGACAAAGCGAATCTCGGTAACCAAGTATTCACACTGACGTGTTGTCGTAGTCCGAGTGTAGGATAGGGAGCGAACCAACTTCCTCACCTCTCTTTCATATGTAAATTGTCTTTCCCATTCCACCCCGGTTCCCCTACTAAAATAGTTAGTTTTATAAATAAGAAAAGTTTCAGTTAATTTCATACAGTTAAATGGAAATCGAATACACTCTTTAATGAATAAATACGCAATTTAGTCCAAATACTGTATATTAAAATTTTGTATTATCCTGAATACACTGTTTTTACTTTTTTTAGACTTGTATCATGTAACTAAATATTTATAGTTAGTATAACTTTATCCTCCAACTTATTCCATGCTATGAATACTATGAGTTCCTTTTATAACGTGTATCATTGGTTCGTCCAGGCTTACGATAGAAGCGATCGAATGTTGAAGGACATCGTAATCAAAATATCACTGAACTTCTGAAGAATTAAGTCATCCCTGAAATACAGGTTGACCCTTTTCTTCATTCAACCATTCAGCCTTCACCTGTGTTATGTATTTATAATTCACTCTCTACACAAACGTGTTTTAATAAAAATCTGTACAAATGAATATTCATTATGCAGTTGCATTCATAATAGAAAAAATAAAATCAAATAAATTAAAATCTGATCATATTTATGAATAAATTTCATTATCACAAGTTAAAACTGGGATATTTACTCTATTGTGTATAATGTTTTTCAACTTAAATTTATTTTATTAATCAACAAACTGAAAATATTTATATGTTATGATAAATCTTGATTTTTATTCGAAGTATTTTTTATAATAAAAGATGTAAAAGTTAAAAATATTTTATTCTTTTATGTCAAATATTTTCATAGACTGTATTTTCACTTACATTTACATATGATTTTTTCTCTCGCATTGTTTTCTATCACTTATTTATCATCTACCCTACAGTTTTAAATGATGTTATTTTATAATAAGTATATTTTCTTTTCGAAATAAATATCACAAATGACATTTTATATTAAGAAGTTTTCCTCGCCAGTATTTCTGCTACTATATTTATCCTAAAAACTTGAAATATTTACGTGAAAGACTGCTCTAAAATGCTAATTTAGGCGATAGCTTGCGTGCTTGTAGTAAGTTTTGATTAATAGTATATTGAAATATTTTAAGAAAAATATTTTTTATGACTCATAAAACACAGTATTATTGAACTTTTATTAATAAAACACAAATTTCAATTATTTTTATTTGTTTAGGAACTAAAATAAAACGCATTATTCCGAACAACACATTTTTAAAAATATTTTTAAAAGTAAACGATCTGCAATTATTACATTTAAAAATAGAACTATATTATTGAAATAACGTACTTTTTACCGTATTTATTAAATATGTTATTAGATAGAATTTCATATCTTAACAAACTTCGTTACATATGTTACATAGAGCCTTTTTGATTTAAACAATTTAAGTGATATTTTTATTAATTCTGTATTTTTGTATTAAATTTATTATACAGTGATAAGTCATTTGTTTTAAATATACATTACTTATTATCAAACTATAGTTTAACATACTACAGTTTTTTTTTAATATTAACTATGTAAAGCTATTTTCAAATTGCGTTTGAACTAGCTTAGTTTAAATATGTTACCATGCAATAAAAGATGAATTTTTCATAATAAATTATTTGTAAAACATTAACATATATTCTTGCAACTTCAAAAACATTTAGGAATTTTTGGTGGGTCCCACAAGTGGTGGATCTTTTCTCTTGCTATCCTATTGTAAGCTTGACAAACCTCAGGATTAAAAAGGCACTTTTAGTTATAACAAGACAAAAAAGAGTGAAAAAAATAGTAGTATAAAACAAATCTTACACGTTTCATATATAATGAAGATTTGAAACACATTTAAAATAATTTTAAAACGTATTTTATTTTAAATTAAACAATGCTAATTTATTAAAACACAATTGTTAATTGAAATATATTGACTTAATCATTGATTTAATGAACTATTGACACATTTTCTGTTGCCGAGAAATGTTTATTAAATTTATTAATTATTGTATTCCTTCTACGAATTGACCTATATTCTTACTCGTTTGACAAGCAGATTAAATAAAGATAATTTCCAATAATAAAAAATTCGATTTTTTATCCAAATAATATATCGAATTTCCTTATTTTCAAATAAAATATTGTTACTTATATTTATAAAAATATAAAATCTGATAAATTTAAATATATTTAAAACAAATTTTCTAGTTTTTTTTTTTAATTTTAAATTATTTTCCTTAACGAAAAGGCAGAAAACCTTAAAGACAGAAAAAACTTTATGGTTAGATCTACTTACTTTTTTGTGACTTGCACGATAGAAATAAATTATATTTATTTAAGTTGAATCATTTGATAGCATTTAAACAACTTCAGATAGTGATCAAGTACAGATTCGTATCAATTACGTCAAAAACCAATAAAAAGTGCTAAAGATTCATCACTTTTTACAACATTATTTTAAAGGATATGTTCTAAATAAAATTCGAAGAATATCATTTTGGTTACAGTTATGAATTTGTTGAGGATTCAATTCTTACTGTACGTTGCATTCTTTAGAGCGTTAGATATTATCAGTGATAAGAAGAAAGTTGTAGGGCTTGAATATGATTACATAATCGGTAAGTGAACAGTCTGTATTCAGATAAAAACAGTTTTAAGTATTTTTTTCTTAAAATAATATAAATAAACTAATATTGTAAATAAGAAATATAAACATCCTAATGTAATTAAATATTTCACAAATCAAATTTATTTTCTTGAATTCTAAAATTTTATTATTTTAGTAATTTTCTTACGTATTTACTTCATTTTCTGTATTTTGCATTATTTTAAATACTGTTTTTTTTTTCTGGAACGTTAATTTTATTTTTTCGCTCTTTTGAGAAAATGTAATACAGGTATACCTCGAGTTACGTCGTTTCAAGTTAAGTCATTCTCGATTATACGTCGTTTGTCAAAAAAAAAATGGAAATATAAAAATCAAGTTTAAGTCATTTTATTCGATTTTACGTCTGTCCGCCATAAATATTGAAGTCGTAATAATACTAGAAAAACGTTAAAAGCATATAAAATCATATTAAAATATGTACTGTACATTTACAGTAGTTGTTAATATAATAATCATAAATCCTAGAGAACGAAACATGAAAACATGTGTCTCTGTGTTGTCGTCTTATTTAGCGGTCTTTAAGTGCTCAATATTGGTGTTTTCCACGGTAGCTCCAATATCTACTGTTTGGCATCGTTGTCAGTGCCACTCGATATTGGTAAATTTAATATAAATTAGTTTAATTTCTACTGTCGCAAGATAATTTTAATAATTGTATTTGTTATTTAACCTTACAGAATCATCTTATTTTATAACATCTTAGAGCAAACCACATTCACAAATAAAGAGTCTGCGATATACTGTAAATATCGCCAAATTGTAAACATATACTGTATAATAAATTTACAAGTGTGTTCATATTGTACTGTATATGTATTCGTAAATTTAGATTACTTTTTTCTGTACTATATTAAAAACTAAAATGTATTTGTTTGTAAGCTTAAAATAGTTTCTTATTAACCATATATTATTAAAAATGCATTTATAAATAAAATACAGAACTGGGAATGGTTATCTGTGGTTTATCCTAGTGACAAGTAAATTTGGAGACAAGTAAATTTGACTTAAGTCGCCTCTTCTGGAAGCAATTACCGACGTAAGGTGAGATATACCTGTAGTATTTTTTATGTTTCAACAGTTTTCACTTGCTTTTATGCTTTAAATTAAACGTTTTCTTTCGTTTTTAGTTTTGAATAAATGATTTATACTCTTACTATAGTATTTTAAAAAGCTTCAAATATCATCTTGTTTGGAAAAAAAATTATACAACTGTATTAATGATTATTAATATTAATTAACAGAAAACGAAGAATTAATAGTTATTAAACATTTTTAAATTAAAATAATAAAGATTCAATATGGAAAGCTTGCATTCTATATAATATATATATGAAAAGCAAGCTACCCATACCAATGCCATATAACATATATATAAATGATGCACTCAACGCCAAAATTGCGACTGAAGCACTGAACTGAACGGGAGGAATGTTAGTCTCTCCTCCTTGGGCGGAACTAATAGATATATTTGACCTTTTAGTGGTCTTTTTATATCTTTTTATGCTCTCTCTGGGTCAAGACATGGCCGAAAAAAGTAAAATAAGATAGACAAATCATTACCCAATCCTAAATTTTCTTTTTACTTTTCAGTATGAGTCGTCTATCCACGAAGAGGAGTCGTTGAAAGGGAAGTGTTATCTTTGACAAGATTTAGTTACTTCCTCGTCGCTTTTTCTACATTTCTCTCTTTTGTTAACGTTTTGTTTTAGTACATTATTAAAATATTAATCTTTTTATAAAAACTGTAGCGCTGGATCTTACATACTGATATAATTTTTGCTCGATGACCTTGTGACCAATCAGACTTACCAATTGTTTTTCATTTATAAATTACGATAAATCTCTAATTTTTATTTTTGATTATTTTTGTCCTATGGACACCAATGCAGCCTTTTTAATTATGCCCACAATGAAGGTAGCCGCGTCTGAAGGTCAGAGACATAACAGGGATTTTTCATTGTACTTTAAAATTGTACTTTACACTAAAATTGTACAAACTGTAAAGTACAATTTTAGTGTTAAAATATGCATTATATACATATTCTAACACTAATAAGCATTCTATGTATGATAAATTTTGTATAATAAAACTCAACCCAGATAGCAAATTAAAAAGTAGAAACACTTATTCTTAATAGATAGAAAATTATCTATAAAATTATATATTTATTAAATATAAGTTATGTATATGTTATTAAATATAAAACTGTTAAGAAGGAAAAGTTGCCAAGAATTAAAGAAGAATTACTAGGACAGAGAATTTGTGAAAGAATGCTTTCGGACCTTTGTTGAAATTTTATATTTAAAAATCTTAAAATATTTTCAAAGCATCAATTTGTATCGCAGAGGTGTGTTGAAAAAATAGTAGATTAGAAAAATGTTTAGATTGTTACAAGAAAAGATAGCTTGGCAAAACAAATTTTATAATTTAAATACTGCAATAAAAAATGCTTCAACAATTGCAAATGATCGAACGTTTATAAGAATTGTTCTCATAAACTTTCAATTGAAGTGTTGATGATGTATTTTTCGTTTATTATGCATTAGAGTAATCTGAATTCAAAATTTCAGCAGGAAAAATAGCTGAATTCGTGAAATATAGACTCTAATCAAATACTGTATTTAAAATAAAATTCAGATTTGGGAAAAAGTTTAAGATCAGTGGCTGTTATCATTATCATACTCTTGGCAATCACAAGAGGTCTGAATATTAATTTAAAATTCTCAAATGAAGTTGGTTATTTTATATATAAAAGTTAGGTATAGAAGAAAAATTTTTAAAAATTATAATAAATATAAAAAATTTCTTCGAGTAAAAACACTCAAACATTACCAACTTTGAATGCATTACCACCTTTATAAAAGGTTTAATAAAATTTATTTATTTGTGAATTTTTAGCAGTCGTAGTGTTTTGTCCTCAAGGTCTGAATATATTTCTATGCTAGCGAGTTCCTAACTTAAAAACTGAAAATTTCCTTTATAATGATAATATTCATTTCAAAATCGTATCAATATTACATTCAAATAATTTAAACTTGATCCTGAATTTAAGCAAAATTTAGAAGAAAAATAGCAAGCAAAATTGGACAGTAACTGTATTATAACAGACATATTACACTTTATTAATAAATAATACTATATATGAAGTAGAAAACGCAGAGAAATTAATAACAAAATAATATTCATAACTTGTATGAGTTAACGTAATATTATTAGTGGAAAATAAATTAAACTATCAATATATACTTTTTTCATTACACAGTTGGTGGAGGGACAGCAGGATCGGTTCTAGCTAATCGATTATCAGAGAACCCCAACAATAATGTTCTTCTTTTAGAGGCTGGAAGTAATGAAAACATAGAAACTGACGTTCCTATTAACACGCTTAGAATGCAACTAACCAGTCTTGATTGGGCATATAAAACAGAACCTCAGAAATTTGCTTGTTTTGGATTAAATGGACAGGTACAAATCATTGTGAATTCTATTATTTCTTAACTATTTAATATATTAATTTATAAATTGTTTCAAATTTTAGCAATCGAGATGGCCTCGAGGAAAAATATTAGGGGGTTCCAGCGTTTTAAGCACCATGGTATTCTCTAGAGGTAATCGTAAAGATTACGACAATTGGGCTAAAAATGGCGCATATGGATGGAGTTGGAAGGAAGTTTTTCCGTATTTTCTTAAATCAGAAGATAATACAGATATAAATTTCTTGAGAAACGGTAAATATGTGAAAACTAGTTGTAATATTTTATATGTTCTATTGATACTTTTTAGATATTTGACAAAGATTACGTAAACGTAGCATGGTAACAAAATATTTTAAAACTGTTTTTAAAAAAATCATGCAAACTAACGATATTTATTGATAACTTCCAAAGGATATCATGCCTCCGGTGGATATCAAACCATTTCAACTCCAATATACTCTAGTCTTCTTCAGACAACATTTTTGGAAGCTGGAAAATTATTTGGATATCCTACAATAGATGTCAATGGTCCAACTCAAACTGGTTAGTAACTCATATTTTATAATTTATTGCTCTTCTATTAAATACCATAATTATCTCAACCGCAATTTTTAAATAATTAGATATAAATGCATAACGTTATCTGTACTGTACATAATTTATTCTCATTTTTTGCTTCATAAAACAATGAATAATTGTGATTAAAATGTTAAAATTAAATATTACAAGTTAAAATTTTCAATAAAATTTAATATCAATTTATTCAATTTTTCAGGGTTTAGTCATGGACAGACTTTTTCGAGAAATGGAAGACGATGCAGCACCAATAAAGCATATATAAAACCTGTTCAATATCGTTCTAATCTAGACATTTTACTCTTTTCGTTCGTCACCAAAGTAAATTAATTTGTCTGAGTTTTAAACCTTTAATTCACTTTAAACGTTTATTATACAGTGGTACCTCAGGATACGAAATTAATCCGTTCCGAAACTGAGATCGTATCATGAAAATGTCGTAAGGTGGATCATCTTTTCCCATACGATTACATGTAAAACCAAATAATTCGTTCCAATGCGAAAAACATACTCAAATTAAAGCCAAGTAATACATTAAAAAAATAACTGTAGTAAGAAAAACAAATGAAAAATGTGAACTAATGTAACGTCGTATGGTGAGTTTTTGTTCGTATCGTGGAGCAAAAATATGTTCGAATTTCATGTCGTATCCTGAAAATTTCGTATGCTGGGGCGTTCGTAACCTGAGGTACCACTGTATAGACTTAAGTATAAAAACACAGTTATTAACGGACTATAGGACTATTATAAAATTATAAGAACAAATATTTAGGCTATAGATTTACATAGAAGAAAGGAAATAAAATACTGTATATATATAGTCTAATTGTTCTGAATTAAATATAGTAGAATACAGAATCTATATTTATTTTTAAAATAGTCACTAATCTTTTAACAAGATTAAAAAAAACTGTTTTTATCGTGCAAATGCAGATGGTAAGCAGAAGTCATAGGTTCTAGTCCTGTTCAGGATCAATCTTTCGTTCCAGAATATTCCAGATTAATTTATTTATTTCTAATTATTAAATTTAATGCAAAATAGCGGCTTAACCATTCATATATAAATGTCTATTTCGTTCTCTTTTCTGCGAGCTATGATCTTTAACATTTACTTTTACAGTTTATGTATAATAAAGCAGATATTATATAGATTACTTATATTCTTTCTGAATGAATTCTATTATAGATGCAATATAAAATGTTACAGTTATTTATAATTTATTTAGATTATTTTCAACGAATTTAAGAGAGCCATAGGAGTTACATTCGATCGTTTCGGTCAAATATATTTCGTCAAAGCCAGGAAAGAGATAATAATATCAGCAGGTACTATAAATTCACCTCAGTTGCTAATGCTTTCGGGTATCGGACCTAAAGAAGATTTACAACGTTTTCGGGTAATTACAGTACTTTAAATTAATTAACCTTTCAAATGGAATGATGAAAATTATATTATTTTGATAGATTCCAGTTATTTCAAATCTTCCAGTGGGTTTAAATCTACAAGATCATATCTTCCCATTAGGATTAAACTTTTTAATTGACGAACCGATTTCAGCTGTTCTTCTACGATTTTACAATCCGAAGACGATTTTACAATATTGGTTTGCAGGCAAAGGTTCGAGTAATTCTTATTTTAAATTATTATTTTTACACTAGAGCCGATTTATGCCAAATACCTTATCTTGGGTAGTACCAGCCGAAGCATCGTTTCTCATTTTTCACTCATGCTCGTCGACTCCACTGAGATGACGAGTGTAATTGTGGTCAGCCATGTAGTATACATATTTGCTGGTGCCACACGTTAATTAACCAATCAATTATTTTAAAACAAGAATTTTGAAAGAGAAAAATTTCTTTTTCGAAAGGAATGTGGACTCGTGCAAATGGAATAGAAGGCATTGGATTTATAAATACTAAGTACGCTACACCATTAGATGATTATCCTGATATCCAATATTATTTTTTATCTGGAGGAATGGCTTCTGATGGAGGAAAAATATTGTTTCCTGTAACAGGATTAAAAAGAGAGGTCAATGAATGAATTGTATAATAAATAACAAGCTTTATAAAACGTTAATTAATATATAAATTTGTTTTTCAGATATATGATTTATATTATAGTCCATTCGAATATGACGATGCATTTTCTATATTACCTATTTTGCTTCGTCCTAAAAGTCGTGGATACGTTAAATTAAGAAGTGCCAATCCTTACGAACATCCGATTATTCAACCTAATTACCTTTCTCATCCCGAGGATATTTTAAAAATTGTTGATGGTAAGTTATGTTGAAAATTTAATCACACATTAAAATCATTGAAAATCGTTAAGTGTATCATAGAAATCGAATAGTACTAACATATTTTACATCAGTTTTAATTGCTGTTAAAATTGTAAATTTTAATGTTCCAATACTGTATAAAGTATCCTGTACACAATATCCTTCAGGAAATCCAATAAGAAGTAATTACACAGATTGAAATACAGGTTTTGTATGGTCTGGCTAGCATATCCAGCTATATCCAGAATGAATCGTTCTTGAAATCATTAAGTAATATCGCACACTTCTCTCAAAATGCCCATTAAGAAGATTTAAAACTGCATTTTCAGTATGAGTCACGTTTCTTTTATTGATAAAATGTCCCTCCGACATTGATACGCATTAATGGAAGAAAAAGTAGAAATCGTCGTGAAGGAAATGTAGTTGTCGTTATTTACCATAACATTGGAAAATATTGTCCTAACAATATCATATGTTAATTTTGCATAATTACATTACGTCAAGTATGCTGTTTTTTATATGTATTTTCAGTGAAACACAAATTTAATAAAAATTACAGCGATTAATACGGATAATCTTGTATAAATATTCGTATACATCGATTATATATTTTTATGGACCAAATAATTTACATTTAAAATTTAATATTTACATCACTAGCAGATAGAAAATAAGATTTCAAACATTAACTTCATTACGGTCACTATATATGTCTTATTTCAATGATTTAGGAAAATCAGAATTTTTAAAATTAAAAAAATGGTATCGTCATTTATTTTCAAAATTTAAATTCATGAAAATTTCGATTTTGAACGATATACAATGTGAATTCATTTTTTAATTTGTATTCTATTCTTTCTTATTAAAGATTTTCCGATAACTGTTCTTCAGGAATCTTCAATTAACAATGTTAATTCTTCTTCAATCAATTTGTTGCTGTAACAAATATTGATATGATAAGCTATTAATTTAATCATTACTTTGAAATTTCCGTAATTCTTTATATAATTTTCAAACTTTCAACCGCTCTTTACTCGGTTAAATAATGAAAAATATAAACTTATATTTTAATGTGCGGCTTTCTCAGGGTCAATTTTCCCTTTCCCTCTCGATAGGAAAATTTTAATGGTAAAAAGAGTTGTAGCGAATAAAAAAGTAATCTGTAAATGCTTCCTTTTATTGATTACTTTAATATTCTTCACGAGGACTTTACGTTTTCTTTTTTTCAGTTGTTACTTTCTGCATTTAATGATAATAGTAATAATAATAATAATAATAATATGTAAACTATTTGAGTTTAATTAATTTAACTTAAATTAATATGCGAGTTAATTTATTTAAGAAAAATGTACACTTTTATAATAATAACAAAATATTAATTGTACAGTACTTTGTAGTAAGTTATTAATTCAATTTTGATTCCAGCCATGAGAAAGGCAATTATTTTAGGAGAATCCTTACCTTTTAAAAAGTTGGGTTCACGACTTTTACCCACTGTGGTTCCTGGATGTGAAAATTTTCCAAAATTAAGCAATAGATATCTTGAATGTGTGGCACGAACACTAACGCTCACATTATATCAGCCTGTTGGAACATGCAAAATGGGTGCTATTGAAGATCCAACAACTGTGGTTGACCCCGAATTAAGGTATCAATTTTGTTATTTTTAATAACGTATATATTTATTTTACTTTAAATTAATCACTAATAAGCTATAAAAATATAATCTATATATCACGAAAGTTTTATTCAGTTATTTCAATTAATTCTATAAATTAAAATGTAAATAATTTAAAATTTAAGAGCCTATGCAATAAGTTTGATAGAATAAAACCGATATTAAGTTTTATTTTAATTAAAGCATTAAATAAATTTTGAAATTATATTGATTTATAACAGATAATCTTTATTTTTGAACATAAAATGCTTCATATTTAGCCTACTCTTTAGAATTATCTTAAGGTTTAAGATTCTTATTTAGATAAACATAATGGCCATTGATACAGATTGATCTCAATCCTATTTGACTTTTAATTTTAGAAAAACAAATAGAAGTTTAAAATTGCAAGAAATTCCTTCACTTTAACAAAATATCTACGATTTAGTGCTACCACTTTTTCATCTTTAAAATTTAAAACTAAATTTGGTACTAAACTGAAGTACTTTAAACAATAAAAATTATACACGGTTGAACAAAAATTGGGACATATTTCCAAATTTGAAATAAATGAAGGGATAACATTTTTGAATATGAAAATATGTGTGATTAATCTGCTTATGTATGATATTTATATTTTCACTGATCGTCAAGAACATTTTAAGGTCATTTAAAATTTAACTATTTTTCTATTAGAGCTAATTGAAAAGAAAATCCAATCATAAAGTTGTAGCCTACCTTTTAATTAGTCTAAAACATCTAATGTGAATACTTGAAACTCAAATTTAAACCGAAAAATACAAAACTTTCCTCTCCAATTCTGAATAGTGAACTTGAACGATGTTCGATTTTCTTTTCTACAGTTTATTAGGTTAAATGATTTCATTATTTTTAAATCAAATTTACTTTATTTCAAAACGTTTTATCGTCATTTATTTTGAAGGTTACAACTCATAAGAAACATTATAAAAGATATCAAATTAATAGCCGTCTGCAGTGTAGTAGAGTCATGTTCTAATCACGCATGAACACGAAATAAAGTCTCTCTTGTAATAGCAGTACAAGCTCTTCCTCATTATCATTCTTTGGATTTCTCAGTTTTGTTGTTTCAGTAGAATAAATTGATTATTTTTAGAAATAAAACTTGAAAAAATAAATAGACCTGGATGTGTCAAATTAAATGAGTGGGATGACGAATGGCCGTCCTCTTCCACCCCACTGATTTACATATACTGTATTTCTGAGTATTGGCAAGCTGAAACATAATAACGTGATAGTGTTCCATTTTGTTGTGACCATACCATTTTATAATCGCACAATAGAAATTCTTGAAATGGCCTTTGAAGTATTTCAATCAAATATAGTTTCCGTGAGATTTCCATCAAAAATACCATACCAGACGTTGGTTTTCCATTCATAGTGGTAAGAAGCATTTTTGGCATTTTCGTCAACCCAATAATGTACTGTACTGTAGGTTTGTTTACGATTCTGTCTTTGGTGGATTGACATTCATTACTCCGTATGATCTTGGTGCTGAACTGCAGATTGTATTCTATCAAACTTAAATACTAATTGTGACAATTTTTGCTCAAAAATCATTTTGTTTCAACGTTTGATGGCAGTGGTTATAGGATAGATGAACTTGTGCTTGTGTAAGCATCTAAGAACAAATTCGTGACTATGTTTAGATCTAATGGAATTTCACTTGAATTGTATGGTTCTAGTATCACAGAAGCAACATTAATAACTGTATCACCATTAGTTGTTTGATGCCTATCAAATCTCTGTTTTTTAACACTGTCAGTAGTTTCAAAGCTCGATGTTGTTTTATGAAAAGTGCATGAAAAACTCTGATCTGGATACGTTACCGTATAAGACCTGATTCCAACATGCAGTCGTTTGCTCTGCAAACGACTGCATGTTGGAATCGACTTGACCTTAGCAAAATGTCATATGTAGCATTTCAGTCACATAATATTCAGCGATTTTTATTGACAATTTTTTCATTACACCAGATGGCAAATGCCTTTTAATTTGGATTCATTACACAGTAGATTAGAAGGGAGAATATATAAATTTGGGAGATGAAATTTTCTTTTGTTTAATTCCTTAATTTCTTTTCTTAAAATTTAAATTTAAATTTTCTTAAATTTAAATTTAAATACTCAAACCTAGAAAGGTTTGAGTATTTAAATTAAATGTTTTTAGAATAAATTTTGTGGATTATTTCAAATTGTGTTTCATTTTTCTCTAATAGGAAAAAGTTAAATTTTCAAGATCAAAGGAAATGTTGTATCCTCTATACAAAAATTAGGTCAATACAAATTTGAATCAAGTTTGAAAATCACGTGATTTAGTCATAGCAAAATAGCTTGTAACGTAAAACTATATTTAGTAATTCAAAGATAATGGAGTTTCTCTACTTCATTCATTGAAACTATGAGGATGAAACTATAGTAAATTTTGACTGTACATTGTTTTAAAATATTGTTTAAAACTTTAATGAATAAAATATTCACGTATTAATCGATTTATATTGATTTAAATTTTTCAGAGTAAAAGGTGTTTCTGGTCTACGAGTAGTCGATGCTTCTATAATGCCAAATATCGTCTCAGGAAATCTCAATGCACCTACCATTATGATAGCTGAAAAGGCTGCAGATATGATACGAAGAAGTAGATCATTTTGATGTGTAATTTAAACAGTAAATTTTTATCATATAATTTAATTATATTTTTACATATTTGATAATGTAAACTTTGCACAATTTTTCGATTCGAATGAAGTTAAAATCTGTTTTATTTTGTAAGTAAAAATCAATTGTTATATCTTTATTTCATTTATTTATTAAATGTTATCGTGTGAAATCTTATACGATGTCAACAATATCTGTCATAATACAGTTACGCAATTATAAAATTTTGTATAATTTAAATAGTCTGCAAATGTAACGTATACTTTCGATTTTTTATCCTCTTACATGTAGACTATAAAATTATGATCCTAAAATTTCTGACATAAAATTTATTGTTTTTATTCGGTATTTTTCGTAAAAATTATTTCAGTTTTGAAATAATTCATTTATCTTTTTGTAATTTTTTTAGAATTAATTCTAGATTTACTATAGGACTGTTTTTCTGCCACAATATAATTAATTGTGAATATAATTGTTCTTGAAAAGAAAGAGTTCGTTTCTTATCAGATTTTTACTATTAAAAAATCCAGTTTATCTTTAAATACATTATTACCTGAGGTTGTATTTCATTAACTGGTAAAAAAAAAAAAACTGGTTGTGTTAATGACATTTGTCACGCAAAGCATTTATTGAAGTTTAATATAAAAATTTAGTTTTTGGAAAATTATATTTCTATATTTTATTTAATAATTGCTAAATAATTTTGGAAAAATTTATCATTTTCCTAATATTCACAGTTATTTCTGGATATATTGCAGAAATAATAATACTTTATCGAAAACGTATGCTCATTTATTTACATGACCTTATTATTCTTCAGAATGATTAATAACAAAGAGGAAGATAAAAAAAAATTATTTTAAAATTGAAATAAAGTTATTAAACTATATCTTTATAATCAATAACTAATATAAATAGCGCAAAGAATTAAAAAAAAAATTTTAACCCAAATATCCGAAATATACAAATATTCGTATTAAATATTTTTCAATTTTTTTTGTTTGTTTTAATTTTTACCTCATTTTTCTATTTGATGGCCTATTTTGCAGGCTGATCATCAGTTTGGTCGGGCCCAAATTGAGAGAAGTCACGCGATGAGAAATTAAGCTCGCATATTATGAACATTTTCTTCCAAAAATATTCTTTTTAATTTTTAATACATATTAAAATTATTTTAATTTTTTAATATATTAACAAAAGTATAGTTCATCGCCATTTAAATGTAAATAAAAACATATTAAAGATGGACGTAGTTAGATAGAAACCATCGTTATTTTTCACTTCTCACTCGCTCTGTGGTCAGATTTAACTACTGAAAACGCTGTTAATATCAGTTCTTCATGCAAAATAACCGGACATTTTATTTAAAAAATCTTATTGAGATAAAATATTTATCAAATGGTTTACCTTTCTAACTCCTTTTTTTAAATTGGGATGTTGGATTTTTGAATAGATATGGAATAGATATAGAAATGATTATTTTCTTACACTTAAACAACTTTTTATAAGTACAAATTTATATGTTTATATAATTTTTCATAATCACGCCGTCATATAAACACGCATACGCTTATATCGAATGTTATTTCTGTAAAATATAACAAATAGTTACTACAATTTACCTGTATATTAATCATAATAATACTAACATTATTGTAAGAAATAATTAGAGTTAATTAAAAATTAAAATAATTTAATACATTGAAGTAATGATCAATAAATTTGTTAATTTATAAAATTTTATAGCCTATACTTGTAATAACGTTTATTAAAACAGTAAGAGTTATAAGAAACATAATTATATTAGAATAAAATATTAATTTAAATAGTTAAAACTGAATATTTTTTGACCTGTATTAAAGAATAATTGTCAATAACATAACCAAAACTTTAGAATATTATAAAATACAAAAATAATAACTTTTGTTTGCTGTATTCAAATATATTTGCAATTTGTCGCATTCAGAAAATATTCTAATTATTGTTAAATGGAATTACAAAATAATACATTAATANCTCCACGAGTTATTTCATTCCAAATTTCAATTTCTGATAAGTGATTCAAGAAAAATCTTGATTTAGTAAATGAATTAACAATTTTAAAACTTTATTCAATTTATTTAGACTAACTTTATTTACATTTCCGAATTAGTTAGATTAGAAATTCGTAAAATATATTAAGAATTACATCTTGTTTCCTGTAACTCTTTCACTGATTTCGAAATTTCGATATAAGAATTTTAAAAAATAAGATGATTTTCTTCTAAAATCAATGTAATACATGATTTTCTAATTATGATCAATGAAATCTAATGAAAAATTTAATTAAATTTTACATTAAAACTAAGTAAATGAAGAGATTTTTTACGTTTGATTAAGCAAAATAATGCAATTTATTCGTTAATTGTATTTTATGTATAATGTAAGTTTTAAAAATCAAAGATAAATAGTAGAAATTTAGCAAATATATTGCTAATATATATGTGTAATGTAAAATTTTTATAATACATCTGCAATATCAAGACGAAGGAACTGAAGTGTAAAATAAAAAATATAAAAATATAAGAAACCCATTTTGCTTGATCTTATTTATATGCTAAAAATATGACATGAATAATAAAATGCCAATTTTTACTTATCAAGTGAAATGTAGATCAACAAACAAAAATAACAGAAAATAAATTCGCATATTTATGATTTTTTTTAAAAAATATTTTATTATTAAAACACAATAAATAATTGAAATTATATAAATCAGTATAGGTTAATTTTTTGTCGGTGAAAATTCTCTTATGTTAAAATACTGTAAAACATTCAATGTTGCATGAATATTCCTCCTGTAACATTAATTAACTTTATTACTAATAAACAATTTGAATATTTTTCAATGTGTTATTTAAATCATTGCCTATAAATGTAGTTTCTAAACTTACGAGTTAGTTGAAACAAGATAACTAACTTAAAAATAGTTAAAGGCAGAAGAAAACTGTCAATTAATGCTACTTTATACATCATATATTCAATAAAATATATAGTGTATAATATTACTAAACTCACTCTCTGATAAATGGAGCAAGTTTTATTTATTTATACGAAATAAATTTAATCTTTGGAATTAAAAAATTTCTAATTAATATTTGTATAAGTTTANATAGATATATATACAATAACCAGAAATCTCCATAATCCGAAATGCTAGAGAAATTGGAAAACAATACTACTTATGTTTTTTTCATGTTAACTCTTATTACCTTTTGCAGATAAAAGTGCAGTAATTTCAAATTTTTAACTAATATGAGATAAATTACGCTCTCATTTTAAAGTTATACATGAAAAGTATCAAAAAATCACAAGTACAGTACATAACACCCAAAATATTGATTGAATTTCTGTATATCAATTAACATCTATCTACATTTATTTGCTGATTTTACATGTAGTACTATCTGTTAAAAACATTTTTTTAAATAATAAACTAAATATAATTCATAGAAAAAGAATATAATTTTAAAAAATTAACATTATATTTACTTAATTACTGTGACGATGATATAGCGCAAAGTAGACACGTTATATCAATACTGAGATGGGTAGCACAGAGCACTCGCGTGTCGAAAGTGTTGTACTATGGAAATTATATAAGTACTGTATTTCGTTTTCCAAATCTAACGGCTGGGGTTTTTTTCATTTTTGAATGGTTCTTTCCTAATTCTAATAAGTACACACTAGTGGCCGAGTGGATAAAAACCTTCAAACACTAGTAGTCGGTTGTGGGTTCGCGTATGATCAAAGGGCTGGCCACATGAATTTTCCGGGTTTTCTTCACGTTAGTAACAACTAAATAAGGACTAGTTTTCCAGAAAAGTCTTTCCTGGAGGCAACGCTCACATGTAGGTTATAATAAACCAAACTAATTCTAATAATTTTCCTATAAAATCGTTATTCAGGAGGATATACTTTCCACAAAATATATAGACGTTCTTAAAATGGATTTTATCACATACGGTTTTGATATTTGCGATCTTTCAAATCACTTAAAAATAACTCTAACACTTTATAATCACTTAAAAGAATTATTCTCGCATTTAAAATAGTCGTCGACCTACTCCCGGAAGAGAGGACTATTTCTGGTCGAATTGCTTCAATCCCTCCAACACCAGTCCATTCTTTCTAACGGACCAGCGATACGATCGGACTAAATATTATAACATAACGTTATTTAATGTTATATTATAATATTTGATTTTAATAACAAAATATAGGCTATATTTTAACTTATAATGACGTATAGTAATAATGTTATAATTTAAATATAGATATATACAGTTTTAAAAAATTGCCAAAGAATTTTTGAATATTTTGTATATATATAATTACATTTTGTTCAAACAAACGTTTCATTTTAATATAGATAACTTTTTTTCCAATTTAATAAAGCATATACGTCTGGTTACAAACATCTTGAAATTCTTGTTAAATGTTATTTCAAAAACGTATACATTTATATAAAATATTTGAACCTGTTTGGAAACTGATTGTATGCTTTATAAAATAATAAATAGAATTTTCTATGTATCTGTAGCGTATGCATCTTAAACTACAAGTTAATGAACGTATTATTGAATGAACATAATCATAGAAACTAAAGATTAAGAGAAGCAAGTTTCTGTTTCAGGATGCACAATCTCTTAATCTTCTCTTAACCACAGGCATATCCAGTAGGACTGGGAAATCACGAACACGAGATTTTATTTTATCTCTGTTATATATGCAGAAGGAAATTATGGCAATACGTCAGAAAATGACACCCTCAACATTTTAACATCGTTGAACTTAGGGGATCTTGAAACGTCGAGAAATGTAAAATTACGGTGTCTTTCTCCTCTGTTTATGGATGTCAGTATGTAAGTGTGTGGGTGGGTGTGTAGGTGAGTGGCACGATTTTGATTATCCAATTTTGACGCTTAATAACTCTTGTGCTTTTTGTCGAAAATTTCTGAAATCCTGCAGGGCGGTTTGCATATGAGAGGTACTTATGCTATTAAATTTTGGTGGTTAAAGGTTAAGAGTACATGGTACATGGAAAGAAATGGGTGACCGCGTGTCATAACTCAAATAAGGTATGATATAATGAGATTCTGCTTGCTATTAGTATTTACGATTGTTGTTATAAAACTCATCTCTAGCTTCAAAACTAAGCTTTTTACCATTTTATAATAATCAATAATATGAACAGTTTTTAAATATAACCTCATAACAAATGGCGCAGCATACAATTTTAATATTTTGCCGGGAAAGTAACGCAACTTGTAGATGGAATGTTTACTCTGTATCATTAGACCCGTTAGATAAAATTTAAATCTTTTTATTTCAATTGCTACTACAATCTGTTGGTTATACATGAAACAGGATATTAAAAATCTAGCATTTTTTTCCCAAGAAGAAAAAACTAGACAACTTTGCATTGTCCGGCAATAGCGAAGGATAATAATGGGCATTATCTAGGGAAACGACGAAACAGTACAAAGTGGCCAAAATTTTGCAGACAAAAAAATAAAGAAATAAAATATAATTTATTTACAAACATCCTTTATAAATTGAAATAGATTCATTATGAAAACAGAAATGAACATCTCAAATTAAATTACTACATTTTCAGGTTGCCATATCAGAAACAGATCCTAACCATGGCAATCCAAAATTGTATAGTATTGTAAGAAAAACCGAGTATATATACAAAAACATGAACCCCGATGCAATTACGGAACCTATAAAAGTGTCCGTGATTTTCCCGTGGAAGTGTCCGCGGTTTCCCCAAAATCAGCATGTTTGATTCTAATCAACTTTGAAAAGAGAGACGCTATCCTATTTAATATTTAAATTTTGATACATGGTAAATAAACAGCATAAAACACATTATTATCCACATTTATAAAGCAATGTAAAACTTCATGTGATACTTGTATATAAACACTTCCTGAAAGTATAAAATATTTCAAAAGCAGCGGGTTTTCAACTAAACAAAACATGTACAAAAATGTGTGAGTATAACATACGTCAATACCACGTGACTGATAGAAATCATGACCTCAAATGACGGTGCTTCCTAAACTTCTATTTTTTACAATGTTTCTTGTCTGGCTATGGCCGGTTCCGGGATTGTCCGGTGTCCAGTCTCTATATACTATGAATAAACTCGTGAGAACTTCTTGTCCCTGTTATTCAATTGACATATTTTTAATTACTTTAATAAACCAAGTTAAGCTTATAATTAATATCATTTAGTAGATATTAATTTAATGGAATTAAACACTCATTCTCTGTTTTTTAAATGTATCATTAAAATAAAACATTCCTAAATATTTACAGTATTTATAAATCAGATGTATTGGTTTTTGTCGATGTAATAAATAAATATCTTAAATTGATATTTAAATATATNAATATTATATTATAATTCTCTTAAATTTTCCAGTTACTTTCCTGCTTATAAATAAAGATATTTTTTTACGTTTTAAAGATAATATTAAGAAGTATTTATCTTAGTTTTTTTTAAATTAAAATAATAAAGTATTATTAAAATGACTTAGAATAGTTTTTATTCCACAAAAAATAAGAAAATATTTTAAATAAACTATCGAAAACAAACATTAGAAATGAAGTTTATCGCATCACTTGGTAGTTGTGATGCAATGTTTTCAAAATCTTTATAAAAGGCAAGTACGAATTATCAGAAAAATTCTGCAACATTGAGTGTAAATTCTTACCTTAATGCTTTATTTTCGCAACAATTATTAATTGCCCATCTACAATGCTGAGATAATGTAGGATAATGAAATCTGGATAATTTTCTACAGGCATGAAACAAGTTATCAGAATCATAAACCTTAGGCTTATTTCCAATTTTCTTCCCTTTTATGCAGCAATTTTTTAATAATTTTATGTGCTTTTTCTTTTTTCTTAAAATTTCTGAAAAAATTATGTAAATTAAAACTCGATGCAAACATGTATCTTTACTTTTTGTACCTTTTAAATGGTAAAAATTAACGGAAATATTGAAGAATTTGAAGAAATTTCACAATATTTCGAACACACATAAATTAAAATTTTACAAAGGAATATAAATATCTTACTTCTTTTTTTTGAATTTTGGCGTACTTTCTTTATGTAATTGATTCTGTTCTCTTGTTCTGCTACAAAACATTCCGTATCAGTAGGATATACTTCAATAGGATCGCTTTGGATAAATTGATTCCTCTCGTCAATTGCCTGATAATCTTCATCAGTATTAACGTCTTGAGAATTTGATATTGGATCGTGAAAAACAGTTTCTTCTTTAAAATATTGTGTTTTAAATATATCATCAATAGGATGATAATCCTGATCCGGGTAATCAAACATTTCCTCAATTTCTTCTCTTTCTTCTTCATCATTCTCCTCCTCCTCCTCTTCTTCTTCTTCTTCTATAATTTCCTAAAAATTAAGAATCTTATTAAATAAAATGAAAAATTCTCTTATCAACAAGTAAACTATAACATTTACATTGCTATCTTCTAGTTCGCAGTTTTCTGTATCATAATCACAAATTACTTTTGGAGTCATAAATTCTATTAATTCATTCAATTGCTGGCTGGTGTCTAAAATAATTAAAAAATTCACATGTAAATTATGATTTCTAATCATAAAATATTTGATTTTTAGACATAGGATAAGATGCCTTCCTCTGACAATGGAAGAGCTGGATTTGAATTAAATCCAAACATCATGATTTGTTCATACTTTGGTTGAACATAAATTACTCAAATTTTATTAATATAAATTATACTGATTTATCTACTCACTAATGATTTATATCGTAAAAATTAATATAAAATAAATAAATTACACCGAGTTAGTTTCTTTAACATTATTTATTCATATAAATTCTTTAAATAAATTTTAGTACTAGCTTTATTAATCAAAATACAAATTATTTAAATGTTTCTTAATTATTTATTACGAAAGGAATCTTACCTTCAAAATCATCTTCATATGCTAAGCATTTAAACGCTAAAATGCACAATATTAAGATAAAACATAATTTCTTAAACATTTTTATGCGTCTAAATGCATAGTATTAATGTTTATTGTGAGTAAACACGTAATTGTAGCCAACGAACAAAGTACAGTTTATATTAGCAATCGTAAATTGATATTTTTATCTGATTATAAGATTTACATTATATTTAATAAGTAGAATTTTATATACAAGGACGTTTACTTCTTCAGTTTTGATCAGAAATATTTTTACAACACTCGAAATTTGGTAAATTTTAAAGTAGTCTACGAAAGCTTATCAAGTTTCTTATTTTAGAAATTGGATTATTTCTCGAGATAAAATATGACACGTTATTTCCGATAACATAAATAACTTAAATTTAAAACATTAAGTGTAGAACCATGATTCGATTTGTTAACACGCGATAATAATGCACCCTTGAACTCGTTGTAGATAACCACACTCTCATGGAATCGACCATCATGGATGAAAAAATAAATTGAAAACGATGCCTTGATTCGGAATATTTCGTAAAAATGATGCTCTAATTCGTACAAAAATATCATGATATAAGATTAAATGCAAGCTTAAATCTCTAGAAATAGAAAGGTTAATTGTTCATTTTGTCAAACATTTTAGTGATGAATCTGGTAGCTATGTATAAGGTGACGAAGTCGACGGTGTGCGACCGGCAAATGCAGTTTTCATTTTGTTATACAGTATTTACGTATTTTATTTATTGTTTTTGTCTTTTAATTCTGTTATTTTTACCTTAAATTATGTGAATTTGCTGTTTTAAGTTTATCAAAATGGGTATCGTTTAGAGTCTTGGAATGGATTAATACTCTTTCCATTATTTTTAATGGGAAAATTTGATTCGGACTGAGAACGATTCGGAGTTTGAACGGCATCCTGGAATAAATTAAATTCAAACTACGAGGCACCACTGTATATATATCGGTATATACACACACCAGGGGCACCAGTACATTGGGGGCTTGGGGCACGCGTCCCCTTTTCGTCTCGGTTGCCCCTTTTTCTAATTCCCAAAAGAGCCCCAATCAACAGAAAATTCGTGACTTCTAGTCTATTCTACAAACATAAAAAAACTAACAAACGATATTTGTCAATTAACCCAGTGGTTACTGGGTTAATGGACAAATATCGTTCGTTAGTTTTTTGATTCTCTGCCTCCTTGTTAAATCCAGATTTTCCCAAGGCACCGCACAGTGGGTCGTGAGACGATTCTAGCAGGATATTACTTTAATTCTAGCAGGATTAAATTATTACTTACATATCATATCAACTAAAAATTTACATATCGAAGTCACATTCGGAGTTTGACTCGGAGTCATCTTGTACTACGTTCACGCTCGGGGCTTTTAGTAATTTTAAAACTTTAGCTGTTAACGGAGTTTTTTCTTCGTACCAAGTGATCTAAAGTTTGTAATGACAGGATCCGAATAAATTGAAAGATTATGTAAAATATCTATATTAGTGTTTATTCTAGAAGTTTTCCGGAAATAATTCTCGCGAAATTGTTTAAAGTCTTTGTGTCTAGCCTCTTGTACTTCGAACAATTGTCCTATTGGAATCAGAAACGAAGATATAATTTTTTATCCGTGTATTATAACTTTGTGAAGAGTGACTGGCATTGGATATCAATGATAATAACTCCGCTGTTTCCTTCGTGTAGATTTCGAATTTGCTTGTATCGATTTCGTAGCCGGATCCCAGTGCTTGTAATATCACTGTATTGTAATATAATCTTTCTATTAGTTCTTGTTAACACAGGTTATCTCTGAAGTAAGAGTGGCACTCGATAAAAATCTTCTTGCCGAATTACCGTCGTTGGTGTTTCTACCACCTTGCTTGGGAATATCCAGATTAGACCAGTGTCAGTTCTAAAACTCTCAATAATATTTTTACTTTTTTTTTGAGATGACTCTTTCTCTTCGATCATTCGATACGCTATGTGAAGAATGTATTTATGAATCTTATGTGACAACGAAGAGTCGATAGACCAAATAAAAAAGTTTCTTCATTACATTGTATTATTTTAATGTTAGGTAGATCGTTCATTTGGCTGGATGTGGCATTACATACGTAATACTTTTGAGTCGATTTATTTGATGTTAAAGCATTACAGACCTTAGTATCGACTATGGTTTCGATAAACTCGTAATTTACCTTTAAAGTAAAATTCGTATATATAATTTTAATACTTTGCATCTTACAAATCTGGATTTTGATGCGAATAAATTCATACAGACCTTCCTCGTCGGTTTCTTTTACGAGGCGAAAACGGACTGGTTTTCAATATCAGGTAGAACTTGGTCTAAGGTTTTGCCATAAAATTATTTTTTTCTCATTTTTGTCGTAAGAAAAAGTTTGTATATGTACCAAAGACGTGTAATTATATTAGCGTCTTCGAAATTTTCTTCCGAAGCTCTTTGCTTGTATAGAGTCTGTCCTCCACTGCCGTCCAAACCTCATTTGTAAACGTTAGTAATATTATTCAAATTACATTTATCTTCTAAAAACTCTTTAATACATCTGTTAGAGTGATAAAAAGACGTTCTGTTATTAGGTTCACTAAAGCTTACGGTTTTATATCAGTTTTATCTTCTGTAATATTAATAGTACTAGCAGCATCTGATGGATAACGGACTTTCTTTGCTTTCTTAATGCTGTGGAAGGATAAATATCAACATCTTTTTCTATAGCACTTTGCCGTAACATTNACTTAATATGAATTATAAATTAGTTCAAATTCTTGTAAATTAAATTATATTATGATAGATTTTTAACTAATGAGAACTTAGTCTATTATAATTACTATATTTAGTTAGTATATGGCAGAAAATGATTAATGATCGTCATGTAATCAGATAGTGACACGGAACTGTTTAATTCATAAGTTTTAGTATCAGATATTGCTGAAAGCTTTCTTTATGCTGTAAGTGAAAACCGTGACAAAATAAATTTGATTGATTTAGAGATCATGAATGAAGCTTACATGATAATTAAGATAATCTTTAAGGCTATTCATACTTAGATAAAGCATGGATAAAGCCTTATCTTTTGAGTACAGTTATAAACTTGATTTGGCATTAGTCAGAATGGGCATGACATCAGAAAATGGTGCATGTGGAGCAAATAAATGTAGTCAAATGGGAGGAAATGACAAGGGACAGACTTGGATCACAGGCCCGTTGTCATGGTTACATCGGGGGTTTAGAGTTAGCTCATCTATCATATTATGTCAGTGAGTCATTCTGTGCACCCTCTTCGATCTACGTACAACGTGTTGAGGATGATTTCTTTGACTCAAGAATATAATATGTTTTATTTTATGATCTTTAAGCCATTTCTTTGTTGAATACAGAATGATAACAGATAAATTTCAATATTTTAAAACATAAATATATGCGGATTTTTGTAATTAAATTGTTAAATCATAATTATTTTAAAAAAAATAACTTATTATTTCTTAATAAGGGATAATTAGGAAAACTGTCTTTTAACGAATTTGTTCTTAACACATGGTTAATGCAAACGAATAATTTCAAATTTACATTTACTATAAAAATTTCAGAAAAATGTAAGTAATGTACCTGTTGACATGTTCAAGTTTAGAGTTTATACTTTCACAGATCAAACTTTGTGTTTAGTATCGAAGAAAAATGGTAATTCATAATTAATGCAAAAAGTCAAGTTTTTGATATTTCTCTATAAAATAGCTAAATTCAAATATATATACAATGTATTTTTATTTCTAAAAATTACTTTACATTAATTAATCTTATTTAAAATAGAAAAATGTGATTTACCTGTTTCTCCGGTAAATGTTTATTTCTTCACTTCAGATTCCAGGTTATATGTGCTATCTTTCACTTATCCCAACTTATATATCCCCTTCTGTCGTGTGGGTGGACACGTTGATGCAGTTCCAGCCAATGACAGTTCTCTTTCGCCTCAATAGAGTAAAAGCTTGTTCGAATTCTGTAACATATCTCAATAAAATTTCATGAATTCATGCATTTCTTTAATTTTCAGAGAAATGTATAATTTTATTAAATATAGGCCTATTTATTTAGCAGGTTAAACATCAAAAAAGTTCAAAATGCTGATAGGATTACGTAAATGAAGTAATTAATAACATTGAATTCAATGAAAGAAGAAAGCAACATAAATAGACTACATGTAACACGAGCCTCCGTACTTCATAACTTCAATAATCATCACATCATTCAATATATTAAGTAGAAAAAAAATATGTTTGTTGATGTATAAAGCAAAATATATATATAGCATATAGACTATTCTTTAAAAGCCAAACTTAAACTTTAAAGAACGTTTTAAATACGTTTTTATGTGCTAATGAGAATGCTTTTTCATCACTCCATTTGATAATAAGATGTGTTTTATCAAATCACGAAGTTATCAGATTAATTAGTGAAAAATATTTTATCTATTTTTAATTCTGTAGAATATTAATAAAATTTATTGTACTTGAGAAAATTTTTCAGTAAAAATACATAAATTATGGAAGAATTACTTTTAAAAAAAATGCTACTTTTCCAAAAGAAAATAATAGCAATATTTTATTTAATACAACATCATTTGGTATATAATAGCAGTTGTTAAAATATATATTTGATGGATATATAGCAAAACTTCATAATCGTTGTTGTACTAGACCTTACTGGAAGTAATATCGTGCAAATCTTCTGAAGGTCAAAGGCGTAATGATCACGTTACTTAGATTTCTTTGATTTGTACCTAAGTTTGGTCTGGCTGTTGCTACTGATGATTCTTGTGCTTCTTCTTCTTCTATTTCTTCAGCTTCTGACTATAAAAATAAATAAAATAAAAATTAGAGTTGTAAATATTCGTCAAACTTTCTTAATGACTTAGAAATTTTAATAAGATTATATGTATAATCTATACAACTCTTTAACATTTGACTTTTTTACACTAATAAATGCTGACTCTAAATCTTCATCTTAATGTATCTGTCCATTATTTCTCTATAATCTAAACCAGTTCAGTACGAAATTGGCTTATATATTTTTCTTAGGAGTAAATCAAATTCTATATTATTACATTCATTCTTTAATTTTTGCGCATTATATCTATCGAATGTTTACAAAATCTATCGTGTAGGCGTGTGAGATAATTATAATCAGTTCATCTCTTTATAAAGATGAAAAGAGCAATAATATTCAACTAAACAATCGTTTTGCCTTTCAAATCAGATATAAATTACTTTTTTATGTAAAATTTCTTTATTTTTTTAAATTAATAAAGGAAAAAATATATGATATTTGCTATCAGCCATAGTTCTATGTACAGGTAAATTTATATAAAACTAATTACATTAGAAATTATATAAACTAATTACTGTTTTTATAAGTATAATCCTATCAATTGCAATTTTAATTTTTAATATTTTAATAAATATTCCGACTTATTGATATACTTCATTTATAATCATTTATCAAATACTTATCAATTTTCACCTTCTTCAATACTTTTTCAAGCATCTCTGATAATCATAACCTATGTATTAGTATCTTTCATTTTTTTTCTAGTTAATAAATAAGACCTTTCTATTTTTTATCGCTAAATATAATAAATATTAAATGAAAAGAGAAAATTATAAATTTTTCATGAATTTTCTTAAGAATTTTTCTTAATTTTTTAAAATTATTCTTACTGTTATATTTTCATTTGTAAATTTTTGTATAATGTTATTCTCTAAATACTTAAAAGAATAAAAATATATTTTATTTTTTATTTATTTAATGTTNAACCTTAGGCTTATTTCCAATTTTCTTCCCTTTTATGCAGCAATTTTTTAATAATTTTATGTGCTTTTTCTTTTTTCTTAAAATTTCTGAAAAAATTATGTAAATTAAAACTCGATGCAAACATGTATCTTTACTTTTTGTACCTTTTAAATGGTAAAAATTAACGGAAATATTGAAGAATTTGAAGAAATTTCACAATATTTCGAACACACATAAATTAAAATTTTACAAAGGAATATAAATATCTTACTTCTTTTTTTTGAATTTTGGCGTACTTTCTTTATGTAATTGATTCTGTTCTCTTGTTCTGCTACAAAACATTCCGTATCAGTAGGATATACTTCAATAGGATCGCTTTGGATAAATTGATTCCTCTCGTCAATTGCCTGATAATCTTCATCAGTATTAACGTCTTGAGAATTTGATATTGGATCGTGAAAAACAGTTTCTTCTTTAAAATATTGTGTTTTAAATATATCATCAATAGGATGATAATCCTGATCCGGGTAATCAAACATTTCCTCAATTTCTTCTCTTTCTTCTTCATCATTCTCCTCCTCCTCCTCTTCTTCTTCTTCTTCTATAATTTCCTAAAAATTAAGAATCTTATTAAATAAAATGAAAAATTCTCTTATCAACAAGTAAACTATAACATTTACATTGCTATCTTCTAGTTCGCAGTTTTCTGTATCATAATCACAAATTACTTTTGGAGTCATAAATTCTATTAATTCATTCAATTGCTGGCTGGTGTCTGAAATAATTAAAAAATTCACATGTAAATTATGATTTCTAATCATAAAATATTTGACTTTTAGACATAGGATAAGATGCCTTCCTCTGACAATGGAAGAGCTGGATTTGAATTAAATCCAAACATCATGATTTGTTCATACTTTGGTTGAACATAAATTACTCAAATTTTATTAATATAAATTATACTGATTTATCTACTCACTAATGATTTATATCGTAAAAATTAATATAAAATAAATAAATTACACCGAGTTAGTTTCTTTAACATTATTTATTCATATAAATTCTTTAAATAAATTTTAGTACTAGCTTTATTAATCAAAATACAAATTATTTAAATGTTTCTTAATTATTTATTACGAAAGGAATCTTACCTTCAAAATCATCTTCATATGCTAAGCATTTAAACGCTAAAATGCACAATATTAAAATAAAACATAATTTCTTAAACATTTTTATACGTCTAAATGCATAGTATTAATGTTTATTGTGAGTAAACACGTAATTGTAGCCAACGAACAAAGTACAGTTTATATTAGCAATCGTAAATTGATATTTTTATCTGATTATAAGATTTACATTATATTTAATAAGTAGAATTTTATATACAAGGACGTTTACTTCTTCAGTTTTGATCAGAAATATTTTTACAACACTCGAAATTTGGTAAATTTTAAAGTAGTCTACGAAAGCTTATCAAGTTTCTTATTTTAGAAATTGGATTATTTCTCGAGATAAAATATGACACGTTATTTCCGATAACATAAATAACTTAAATTTAAAACATTAAGTGTAGAACCATGATTCGATTTGTTAACACGCGATAATAATGCACCCTTGAACTCGTTGTAGATAACCACACTCTCATGGAATCGACCATCATGGATGGAAAAATAAATTGAAAACGATGCCTTGATTCGGAATATTTCGTAAAAATGATGCTCTAATTCGTACAAAAATATCATGATATAAGATTAAATGCAAGCTTAAATCTCTAGAAATAGAAAGGTTAATTGTTCATTTTGTCAAACATTTTAGTGATGAATCTGGTAGCTATGTATAAGGTGACGAAGTCGACGGTGTGCGACCGGCAAATGCAGTTTTCATTTTGTTATACAGTATTTACGTATTTTATTTATTGTTTTTGTCTTTTAATTCTGTTATTTTTACCTTAAATTATGTGAATTTGCTGTTTTAAGTTTATCAAAATGGGTATCGTTTAGAGTCTTGGAATGGATTAATACTCTTTCCATTATTTTTAATGGGAAAATTTGATTCGGACTGAGAACGATTCGGAGTTTGAACGGCATCCTGGAATAAATTAAATTCAAACTACGAGGCACCACTGTATATATATCGGTATATACACACACCAGGGGCACCAGTACATTGGGGGCTTGGGGCACGCGTCCCCTTTTCGTCTCGGTTGCCCCTTTTTCTAATTCCCAAAAGAGCCCCAATCAACAGAAAATTCGTGACTTCTAGTCTATTCTACAAACATAAAAAAACTAACAAACGATATTTGTCAATTAACCCAGTGGTTACTGGGTTAATGGACAAATATCGTTCGTTAGTTTTTTGATTCTCTGCCTCCTTGTTAAATCCAGATTTTCCCAAGGCACCGCACAGTGGGTCGTGAGACGATTCTAGCAGGATATTACTTTAATTCTAGCAGGATTAAATTATTACTTACATATCATATCAACTAAAAATTTACATATCGAAGTCACATTCGGAGTTTGACTCGGAGTCATCTTGTACTACGTTCACGCTCGGGGCTTTTAGTAATTTTAAAACTTTAGCTGTTAACGGAGTTTTTTCTTCGTACCAAGTGATCTAAAGTTTGTAATGACAGGATCCGAATAAATTGAAAGATTATGTAAAATATCTATATTAGTGTTTATTCTAGAAGTTTTCCGGAAATAATTCTCGCGAAATTGTTTAAAGTCTTTGTGTCTAGCCTCTTGTACTTCGAACAATTGTCCTATTGGAATCAGAAACGAAGATATAATTTTTTATCCGTGTATTATAACTTTGTGAAGAGTGACTGGCATTGGATATCAATGATAATAACTCCGCTGTTTCCTTCGTGTAGATTTCGAATTTGCTTGTATCGATTTCGTAGCCGGATCCCAGTGCTTGTAATATCACTGTATTGTAATATAATCTTTCTATTAGTTCTTGTTAACACAGGTTATCTCTGAAGTAAGAGTGGCACTCGATAAAAATCTTCTTGCCGAATTACCGTCGTTGGTGTTTCTACCACCTTGCTTGGGAATATCCAGATTAGACCAGTGTCAGTTCTAAAACTCTCAATAATATTTTTACTTTTTTTTTGAGATGACTCTTTCTCTTCGATCATTCGATACGCTATGTGAAGAATGTATTTATGAATCTTATGTGACAACGAAGAGTCGATAGACCAAATAAAAAAGTTTCTTCATTACATTGTATTATTTTAATGTTAGGTAGATCGTTCATTTGGCTGGATGTGGCATTACATACGTAATACTTTTGAGTCGATTTATTTGATGTTAAAGCATTACAGACCTTAGTATCGACTATGGTTTCGATAAACTCGTAATTTACCTTTAAAGTAAAATTCGTATATATAATTTTAATACTTTGCATCTTACAAATCTGGATTTTGATGCGAATAAATTCATACAGACCTTCCTCGTCGGTTTCTTTTACGAGGCGAAAACGGACTGGTTTTCAATATCAGGTAGAACTTGGTCTAAGGTTTTGCCATAAAATTATTTTTTTCTCATTTTTGTCGTAAGAAAAAGTTTGTATATGTACCAAAGACGTGTAATTATATTAGCGTCTTCGAAATTTTCTTCCGAAGCTCTTTGCTTGTATAGAGTCTGTCCTCCACTGCCGTCCAAACCTCATTTGTAAACGTTAGTAATATTATTCAAATTACATTTATCTTCTAAAAACTCTTTAATACATCTGTTAGAGTGATAAAAAGACGTTCTGTTATTAGGTTCACTAAAGCTTACGGTTTTATATCAGTTTTATCTTCTGTAATATTAATAGTACTAGCAGCATCTGATGGATAACGGACTTTCTTTTGCTTTCTTAATGCTGTGGAAGGATAAATATCAACATCTTTTTCTATAGCACTTTGCCGTAACATTATATATTGCGATTTAATTAAATTCGTGGAGATAATTAAAGCCAGAACTTCCTCGGGAGAATACATATTGTGTTGTATTCTCCCGATATATGCCGATGATCGATTATATGCTTTTTTCAATCTCGTCGCTGGTTTTGGAAATTGCATAATATTTTTTACAATGTTACCTGCTTCTCTTTTTTCTAGATAATCTTAATTTTACCTCGACAGCATAAGTAATTTCATTCGAGTTACGATCATCAATGATTCCTTGAACATTTCTCATTTTTGCTCTCGGTCCAGTTTTCGTAAAATCCTTTTTGGGACGACTCATTATTTGCTTTTGTGGTGTTGCATGGCTTGCACTAGTCTGTGGCAAATTGACATTTTCGATAAATATCCGATCATTGAGCCATAAATGATTTTTTGTTGAAAAATGTTTGATATTTCGATTACATCTCTTCCATCTTTGACTTACAACATTGGATAAAGAAGAAATGATTCGACGTAATTCATTTTCCATAACTTGACTAGGATTTGTTAAATTAAACTTTTCTTTAATGTAGCCTACGATAATATTTTGTAATTCGGATGACCCGCTTATCATTTTATCTTTTCCTCTTAGTTGTTCAAAAAATTCCCGCCTGCTAACTACAAACTAACGCCCTGTGAAACAAAAATGGTTAAACATCAAAATTCGCACGTTTCCGCACACAAATATCTATTAGACATAATTATGAAACCTTCGAAAATCCAGACAAAATAAAATTAAAACGTAGGAAGACATAGGAAAAAAGATTCAGAAGTTTTAAAGTTCTACTTATTTAAAATAATGTACGAAAATCCCTTGGGTTTGTGATTATTTTATATAAAATTTTACCATTGACTATTATTACCATTGTATATTAATAAAATATACATATTAAAATACATACCTTCGCGATTATTATCCATCTTAATATTTGATAAAAACATTCAAAACAGCGAGAGAAACAACTATTCGAAACAAGTCCGAACACGACACCAGTGTTATGCTTCCAACGAAATACTGTATAAAACTGATGCTTTTCTTTTGTTTGTTTACAAAACCACGGCGCGTATTTTAAAAATTATTGATTGCAATTGACTCGCTGGAATGTTGTTTCTCAATTCATAAACATGTTAGAGTCATTTCCAGTCATGCATTTTTTTGACTTTTGTCCTCCTACTTCTTTATTAGGTCCAACGGCGCGCCGTGTCAAATTCTAACAAGTACTGTACAATTTGTGAAATAGCGAAATAGCCAATATACTGTATTTTTTTTTAATTAAAGAGTTGGGACGTTAAGTAAAAAAGAAATAAAACACGTATTTAAGATAATAAAAAATGTAATTGAACAAATTCAATTAATTATAATTAGTGGGATGAATAAACCTGTTGATCACCCCAATTTTCTCAAATCTTGGAATCAAACTGGTCTCAGCTACCTCATTTCCTTCTCCACGTTGATTTTCGTGCAATGCTTAGTTTTTATCACAGCGACAAACACATCTTCGAACAAATAAGAAGTCGCAAATGGAATTAAGATTCTCTGAGCTTCACCACTTAGAAGGATATTCTCTTTTACTGATATTCAAAATTCGGTTACTTTCATGCTGCTAACTTTTGTTTTCAATGTATTGTTGCAAGACAACTCAATAAGATTCTCTTCTTCTGCAGCGGTAAATTCAAATGGTGCATTGGCATTAAATGGATCTTGAATCTATGCAAATTTATCGATATTATCATTTTGAAAATATTTCTCAAACCAGGTGATAAACTATGATAAATGTTCTTCGAAAATAGATTTTATACTTCTAGAGAAATCAACTCCATTGGAGGTCAAAAACTGTTGCAACAAGGGAAAACATTATTTTCCTCTGACTTCATTTATTTTTGTTTTCTATAGTTTAAAATTTTTTTTTTTTCTTTTTATAAAAGCTGAAATTTTCTCAATCGACTTTAAAAGATACATGTTGCTGTTCTGCAGGGAGAGATTCAGAGCATTCAGCTTTTCAAAAATATCACATAAGTATGCTAGTTCTACCAAACAATCTTCATTCACAGAATTTTCGGCATACTTGTGGTTTTCCACTTTAAGAAAAATAAAAATTTCCTGACCCAATTTAAACGTATGAGACAAAACATTACCACGAGAGAGCGATGGGTAATGTTTTGTACTTTAAGTGCTGTAATACAACAAAGACGTGTGCTCGGATACCGTATTCTCAGATTAATTTTTGAAAAATTTTGCCTTCAACGGCCGAGTTTTTATAAAGTCAATGAAAGCTTATCAGTTTATTACATCTACTACGTATTCTAAGGTCTGTTCAATGTAGGACTCAGATATTTTGATGCGAGTGCTTCCCTGTGAATAACGCAATTGGTCCACAGCGCCCCGCTCTAAGCTTTGAAAAAGTGCTTTCAATCCTCCATAACACCCGGACATAGAACGAACATCATCAGTGCAGATACCAATGTATTTGGTCCAAATAATTTTCAAATATAAAAATATCAAGAATCTCGAGCAAGTCTTGTGTGAGATCCGAATGGCCCCGGGTCTAAATTAGTAATTTAAAGGTAATGTTAAAGTTTTGTCATAAAATATTCTTTCGTTTGGGATGGAAAGGTGGCGTTTTCTAGCGTGGGAAAACAGCTAGGAGAGTCACTTCCCTTGACAGAAGCATGAGCATCCTCTGTTTTTCCCTTATCTGCTAAAAATCTCGCTTCAATGGAAACTGGTTACCCCTCATTTCTTCCCCCTTCCCATCCGTTCACGTGGATGAAGCCTCGACTGATAATTGGTCGTATCAGAAGATATATGCGAAGTTCAGCCAAATTCGAGGAGTTCGTCAGAAAATCTCATAGAGGAGAGACGTCTCCCATATTGGCTCCACACCGCCCTTAGGAGTTCATCGTCAGACCTGAAAGAGTCAGGACTCCACACAATTGCTCTCTAAGGCCAGCACCCTTAAGAGTTCGTCCGTACATCGGAGAGTGGAAAGGACTCCACACATATATGCCAGCAGACCAACGCCATCGTCATACCTTGTCAAATTAATCCTAAGAAAAACTAGGAAGTTACTTCGCCGAATAAGAAGACGACACTGCAAAGTAAACAGGTCGTATGTTTAAGAATAAATTGTGAGCTCTCTCTCTCGACTCGGTATAGACTAAGAATAGATTACCTTCTGTCGTGATTGATTTGATTATTCGTTCTTTAATTGACTGTTTTAGATTATTTGATTATTTCTTGTTTCGTATGAGTATTGTTTATTTTGTTTATTAAATTCTCTATATTTTGTTAAGAGATGTCTCTGAATTATTTCCTGAATCAGATCGACGGCATAAATTTCACGCGTGTTTATCCGCGTTACGCAAAGTAGATAAACTGGTGTCGGGACCCTGACATAAGGAAGAAGGTGAATTCGCCATCACCAACTTCCGCTTAGAATACTAACTGTAAGACCCTCCACACTCGTTTCCCTAAGTCTGGGAAAGGCCGTTTTTGAGGACGACCGAGACTAGTTTCACGAACTAGTGCCGATTAAGTGGTGCTAATTATCCCAGCGAATTAGTACCCCCGGCTGATCTCACACTTGAGCCTTAGCACCAGCAATGATACTTTTACTAAAGAGGCTTTCTACAATGCTATTACTCTCTATAAACCGTACATAGAAAATCAAGTGAGCATCATTATTATTATCTGTGGCCTCATCCAGCTGCAACCCAAATTCCTTCCGTTTTATTTTTTCAATTAACTGATCATGAGGTCCTTCGCTATATGCTGTATTCTGCGATTGATGGTGTTATTGGACAAAGGCACTTTTGAAAGCTGCTTCCCAGCAGACTCACCGATCATAATGTTCACCATATCTACAGAAGCCGGTAGAATAAGTTTTTCTGCGATGGTATGAGGCTTTTTACATATTGCGATTCTGTGCCACCTTTATTATTGAGTTAGTGATTTGCATCAGGTCTGCTAGATGTCGCATAGTATCACACTGAATTGAGAGAATATAAAATTTTCATAATTTTACTTCTAATTTTATGGCTCCCCCTGTGAGGAAGCCGCGGCTCCCTAGAGCGCCGCGGCGCACACTTTGGGAACCACTGCATTAACTCACAACTTCGTCGTATGTTGGCCCAAAATCCCATTCCTTGTTTTCCAGGCCAAATTAGCTTCGAATGCAACCAGTGAAACCTTATAGGAGGGCTGATCCGATGTATAGTCACAGAGTTTAAACCTCTTTGCGTAATGTACAAAGCACTTTTTTTACAGCTTGTGCTTTCCTTTTTGAATAGTCTGCTGGTGCCGCTGCCAACCAATTGCATTTTTCAATCCTTAAAATCAGAAAAATAACTCCCCAGAGAATGTTTTCTGAAAAAAACGGGTAATGCTACCAGAATGCCTTTAATGTTCTCACCCCAGTATCCTATAAAATGGTTCGTAAAGGCTCGCTATATTCAGAAATTTTAATGTGCAGTATCTCCTTTTTGGAGTATTTGAACTCTAAGCATATATGTAGGACGCAAAGGCGTTACGCTTAACTGGTGGAATTTGGGAAAACCTACATCGTTATTCTGTTCAACATTATTAATTAATTTTAAAAAACACACACTATTTTATTTGCAATAAGTTATACGATTTCTTTCTTTCAGACTGGTATGAGCATATAAATTCGACTTTTTTTCCTCTTGTAGGCAATAAAAATATTTTCCCCACAAATTTTACTATTATTAATTACCATGGGTTCGGTTTGATGTGATTAAGCAACACAGCTTGAAGGCAGTCTGCCAAGAAGGGTGCCTCCCGGAATGACTATTTTATGGAAAACTTTGAGAACTAAACCATTTAAGAGTTTGATCCGTGAACAAGACTTAGAAAATACCATTCGTTGCTAAAATTCAAATCCAGGACCAACTCCAGTGTTAAGTGGTTTTATCCAGAGATGGGGATTCGGCGGAAAATACACGACTCCTGAGTTAGTATTTTTTTAAATCGACTCTGATTCTCCATTTCTGGTTTTATCCATTCGGTCATTACTGGGAGATTTGACTGGGTCTGCAATAGGCGGAAACTAGGCGATGAAGGAACTAATATAATGCATTTTAGTTTATCTGCTCATAAAAATTTTCGAGCGAACCAACACTCGAATCTAAGTGTCTCAGAATGACAGGGACATTCATCATTTTAGCCATCTAGCTGCCAAATTTTATAGTTTTCATGTTAGTCTTTCCAAGACCAGACTTGGTCATGGAAAGACAAACATGTTAACTATATGATCCATATCCTGAAAATTTATCATGGAAAACACGAGCGAAGACACTGCCTTTCATCGTCTTTCATATTTCTGACCAGGACTGTTATAACCATAACGCACATTAGGCATGTGACTAAGTCCCGAGAAACAGGACACCCGCGGTCTAGGAAGCCGTAAAAATAAGACTAATATTGTTTTACAAAAATACTGCAATTTAGTACCTACCATACCAGGGTCAGGCTGTTACCTGTAACCAGGTGGAAGATTGAATTGTCGGAGGGGGCCCGGTTATGAGTTAATACGGCTCTGCTACTGACTCATTTGAGACAAGGCTTTCTGGCAAAGGGTGAAATTCAATTCCGTCTTAACACATGGGCATAATGAGTAGTTGCTCGGGTGCTCCACGCTAATTTATGCAAACCCCAGAATGTAATACAGTGGAACCTCGGTATACGACCTTAATCCGTTCCTGGTGTTTGGACTTATACCGAATAGGACGTATATCAAACCAACCTTTTCCATAAGAAGTAATGTAAAAATGATTAATCTGTTCTCATGTAAAAAAAATGGCTGGCTTTAAACACCTCGCTTTCCTCGCTAGTTTCTGCTTGATTTTTCATGAGATCAACATGTATCCTTTTAACTTTCTCGCAAATAATTTCTTCCGATACGCTGTCGCCAGCACACTGTTTTTCAGTTATCCAAAGCAAAAGCAATTTCTCGATATGATCTAATGTGTTCGATCTCTGTTTAGAAATTGATTTAACCCCTTTCGCAACGTTAGCAAATTTAATAATGTCTTTATTTTTCACGATTGTCGATATCGTCGTTCTCGGAATATGGAATGCAACAGTTAAATCTCGAACACGCGTGCCACCTTCATATTTCTCAACAATCTCTTTTTTCAGTTCCGTTGTGATTCTAGTCATTTTTTTATTTTTTTGTTGCCCTTTTTCAATTCATGATTAATAAAAATAATAAAATGTTACTTACAAATTAAAATCAGAAGAAATTTAACAAAGTTATAAACCGTAGCACCGCGAACGTCTAGTCTAGTGTAGTACACCGATACTGCTACTTGTTCATAGATGGAGCGTATAATTGAATTAAGTCGTATACCGAACAGAAGTCGTATACCGAGCAAAATTTGTTTCGTCCAAACAGGACGTATTCCGAATTGGACGTATTCTAAAGCAGACGTATACCGAGGTCCCACTGTACTTATTTTCCGCTCACCCATCGGTTGTGTAGGCAGGCCCAGGACCCTATAATGCTGTTAAGATGGCCCTAGTGTAATTTTGGCCAAAATTACACTAGGGCCATCTTACATAATGTAAGACGGCCCTATAATTACATTATGTAGTGTAGTGATACTTTACATCAGTAATGCAAGTGTTGATGAGTTTTTAATTATTATTTTGAATGTAATTAAGAACAAAAATTAATAATAAATTTACCATTCCTAACTGAATACAATTTTGCTACGACAGTTTTCTTTTTTGACTCTTTCCGCCCTGTGGGCACTAAGAGGGCCTCATTTTGCAATCTCATTATGGGTTCGGCCAGGCCCACAATGGGGCTGCCTGGTGGTGAGGGACGGGGCCCGACATATCCGAACGGACCACCCCCAAAAGATTCCTGGGGATTTTTCGACCCGTTTGGATTCGAACCCGGGTCCCCCAGAGCGGTAGGCTGCCACCTTGACCGCTCGACCGCTCGGCCGCAAAAGCTACGACAGATTCATATTAGAATATAAAATTAACAATTATTCCTTCTATAAATAGAAATTTTATTTATTCTAGAATATGGAGAAAGAAGTAAAAATTTATATATATGTATCAATGAGAAGAAAGTTTACAAATTGTTTCAATCGCGCCACGTGGTTTACTCATGAGAATTTATTAATCCAGGTGGCGCCACGTGTTGTTTGTATTTGTCGGTGTTTTTGAAATGGATTAATATTTTAAATTAATGTTTGATATTATATAAAAGAAAATAGATAAAATTTATCGATGCAGCTTGTCTGATTAACTGTTTTTGAGTATAATGACACTAACTGCAGGTAAGAAGGAAATTTTTTTTTTCCTTTTAATATTCTGTAATTTGACATTACAAACATCAAAATTCTACAAAACAAAAATCAATTTGTTTATTGAAAATATACAAAAATTCAAAATTACCAAATTAAATATGAAATTTTACTATAAATATTAATCATATAATTTAAATAAAATGATAAAGTATTTTATCACAATAATAACTTATAATGTTGGCTTTTCCTACTAGACAGAGTACTAGTACAGTGGAACCTCGGTTAACGAACTTAATTCGTTCCACGACTCTGTTCATTAATGGAATTGTTCGTTAACCGAAGCAATTTTTCCCATAGAAATTAATTCAAATACAATTTATCCGTTCTATCCTCCGAAATTTTTGTAATTTTATTTGTAAAATGGGTTTTCATTGATGAAAATGTAGGAAAATGTAGTATCTATCATTACAGCAACAAACATGTAAACTTTATTTAATAAAATAGCACTGTACATACCTTCATTTGTTGTAGTTGGTGGCAGAGGAGTGATGTACAGAGCTTAATGCTTAGAAGGGGAATCCCTTCCAAAAAAATAATGGTTAGAACTTCATCCGGAGATTCTTCTAGTCGAGGTCTCTTTTGGTGAGGAATAAGAAATTGATCTAAAGTTGATTGTCTTACTCTTTTAATCAAAATTTTTCTCAAATGCGATAGTGCATTGTCGTTCATATCACATTGTCATTTTCTATGCCCATTATCACTTTTCTCTTTGTTGTGTGCCATACTGATTAAATATATAAATCACAAAACTGAAAAAATAAGTTTAGCTCAAACACTTGGAAAAGCAATGCTTAACTCGCACATGGCTAACAGCAACTAAAATTTGACACAAAAAACTGTTATGTTTGTTATCCAAATTTTGTCTGTTATCCGAGACAAAACTTTTGCAAAATAAAAGTTTGTTAACCGATTTGGTTGTTAACCAGGGCATTTGTTAACCGAGTTTCCACTGTAGTTAAAAATTGGTAAGGTGTGAACTCTGAATGAGGGATTTGTCACCTCTGCTAGAGTTATGGACTCCTCTGTATGAGTAAAAAAGTCAATGGAGCCATACTGTACATGTGACCCTTCAGAAGATATTCACCTCCATAGATCAGTTTTTACTATTACCGGTACTACTGCCTATTTTCAACATTCTGCATGTGTACTTTATGTGCTCTGGTACTCACACCTTGGCACCCATGCAGGGTGATCCCTCTCACTTCCTAAAACTATATAACATTGAGTATTCCACGAACAGTCAAGTGAGCTACTCAAAGTCAGTGTAGCCATGTGGCTAAATAGTTAAATATGATAGTACGATGTAACTCCCAAATGTGTGATATAGAACTAGGCTGATTTCAAGGGGAGCTGTATCTTAAAAAGGGTCACATTTATGGTTCGTTAGGATTATTTTGCTCCTATGAGTATGGTCTATGGCTCTGATAAGTTCCCAATCATCTCATTCCAAGGTATAAAAAAAATTAGAATACAAAGTAATAGTACATTCTACTATACTAGAGTGACTAGATGTCTCTGATTTTGCCTGTTTTTAACATCTGATTGTAGAATCAATCTTTGAATAAAGTAATTTTATTAACATGCCATTATATCATCATCAATTTGTAGATAAATAAATAAATAAATTTAAAAAAATAACCAAAGTTCAGTTTTAGATCTCATTTTCACTGATTCTGAAATCTGTCCCCAGTTTGATTGTAAATGTTATGATCAGCCTAATTATACTTAATTACCTTTATATATAATACTTACCATATAGAAAAAAACAAAAAACAAAAATTAAGTTATTTATAGCCTGCAGCTTAAAAATTTCATTTTGTATTGACTTAATTTATAAGATCTTTCAAATAAGTTTTCTGGTACCAAAGAGCAGAATATCTTCATATATATCACATTTTGAAACAAAATCTTCTGGCAGTTTTTTGAAAAATTAATTTTTCATAATTTAATCAGAAATTTAAAGTTTGTATTGAAATGGTAACATTGAACTCAAAGAAAGTGTTAATGTTGAGGAGTGGACAATCTCTAAATGTTATCATACAAGCAAAATTGGAATGTTTAGTATTGGCCATAAACTCACATTTGTGAAGACAATGCATTAAAAGTGTTATGTTATACAAAAAGAAAATTTCTACCTCTGGACAACTGACTACTACTTCCTAATGCAAATTCTCAGCCTGAAAGGTGGAGGGTATGCAACTATGCATTATTAGGTAGAGATTACTTCAATAACTTTTCTACTGATTAATTAACTGCTACTGTAGTAGTAATTGCTACTGATTAATTAACTGCAGGTTTTCAGTATTCAGTTTTTTAAAGAATAGAATAGTAGTATTATAAACTCTAAGAACCACACACACACACCTTTTTGCCCTATTGACATTAAAAGGAGTTTTTCATTCTCATTTTGGGTTCCATCTCTCTTTACCTAACTGTCCATAATAGGGGAGAGGGCATAATGAAAAAACAGGACCCGAAATATCTGGATGAATTCATAAAAATATGAGGTTTCAACCCGACTTTGAATCCTGATTTCTGTGTTTTTTGGAGTTTCTATTTTGTGAGACTGTCTCATAAAATAGGAATTCCAAAAACAGTAGTTGTAATTTATTCTTAATTAAATTATCAGGTAAATAAATAGATGATAATATGCATTCTGTTAGCATTAAGTATCTCTAAGGATATAGAAGTAATCATTATCAATATTGCCTACAGATATATTTTAAATTATTATTCTTATAAAGTATGATTTTGGCTGTTCAGTAATTTATAAATTTTCTTTAGTAAATAATATTTATTAATATTTGATCTAAAATTCTTATTTACAGGAAGAAGAGAAGCAATTGTATCCTTTGCGTATGAATTAAGTATAGGAATTATAATTTCCTATGTATTTAATGTTAGATTATAAGGGTTTAAAACATATTATTTATTGTTATAATTTACTATTATTGATTGATATTTTTATGAAGGATTTGTAAAAGTTTTGCATGTAAATAAACTATTTCTGTTATTAGTTACTAAGAAATTATATAAAATTTGCTATATTTGAATATTAAGGTGAGTAGAAAAATAAGGCCACCGAATGTTTTGGAAAAATAAATTTTTATTACACTAAACTAAAAATTAGTGACAGAAATAAATGTAGATGTAAAAGAATTACTTATTCTATTTACAATCAGAAATAATGTTGTTGCAAAAATATAAGGTAAGTTGCATTTTTGAGTGATTTATCAAAAAAAGATTCATTATAACCTACAATTGAACAATTATAGGGATGACAACACTTTGTAATTGCAAATGGAGGCTTACTTGCATTTGTAACGCCAGTAATTGTTATGATACCGCTCCCATTGTTAAAATTACTTAAGTTCTAAACAGTCTTTGAGTGTCACCAAATCATGACACTCCATCAGGCTGGAAGTTCTGATACAGCTATTGCAAAGCATCTAAAGAGATTGTGTTATGTTGTAGCCAATTTCATTAAATTTGGTATGTAATATGGAAAGAATTTAATTATTTTTGTTGAATAATTATCCAAAAGGAATATTGAACAAATGGTTATGAAAAATCATTAATAATAAAATAAATGTTGAACAAAAACAACAAAATTATATATAGTTACAATTTTTGTGATAACTCAGGATTTATTTTCTTCATAATTTGAACAAAATTATAGAAAAATACAATATGATAAAATTGTATATAGCAGATTGTAAAAAATATTTTAAAATTATAATATACAATTAATTAAAAGAAATAAAAATGAAATAGAAAATATTTTAAATTAAGATGATGCGGTATACAAGTTAGAATGTATACATGTGAATCCCCATAAATATACATCAGAGAAACTAAGAGAAAATTACAAAGAAAACCAAAAGAACATATACAATTTATTAAATACAATAACAAGAATTATGCCACAGCTAAACATTGTAATTCCCAAGGATGTGAAATTATTACAAAACGAATAAAAACATTAAAGATGAAAATAATATTAAGAGAAAATTAAAAGACAAAAACAAAGAAGTAAAAATAAATGTATTAATGAAAATGAAGGAATGATGTTACACAAAATATGATTACAAATTTTAATTAAACACCAGTTGACACTGGTGTTTAAAAAATATTTGCATGCCAGAGATACAATGAAGAAAATAGTTTTTAATTCACAATATTTTGTATGATTGTGAATAAAAATTTAATATCAAGTACAACTTGGAAATGACAAGAATACATGGTAAGATATTGAAATAATTAAAACTTAGAAATTATTAAATAGTAAAATAAAATATTTGTGAAGTTAAGGAAAAAAACAAATTTTAAATATATTGTTGATATAAAATGGAAGTTGTAATTTTAGATAATTATGTAGAATATACTATATATTAAATGTTTTGATTTGTAAAACAAAGTTAAAACAAATTTTTTGTGTTTTAACAGAGATAAAATCAACTGATAAAGGATAATAATAGGTCCAAAATGTACATATTGGTTTAATAAAATCTCATCACAATTTTCAGTAGGAAAGTTCATTATGACGAGTCCTTCAAATTCATAGCTAATTCAAAAGTAGCCATTAAGATTAATTTTAGTAAAGGTTTGTCTCATCTACTAGACCAGTGTTCTGCAACCTTTTTCTACTTGCGACACACCCATGACTCAACATGGCACACCAAAATGTTATTCCCCTCAAAAACGTATGATATGATACTATTAATAAAATTACAGTCGACCCCCCTAAAACACGGTAGATACGTTCCGGTTTTTATGAATCCATTTTCTACAAGTCCAGCCAATTACAGCCAGGCACGTATGCAGTTTACGGACTACGGCTGTTTGAAAGGTTTCTTCCATAAAACTAATCAATTCTAGACTAATTCGACTCAACATTTCCAAAATATGTATAATTTTTTGGGAATAATCCATATAAACTATGCTATAGACAAAAAATTGTAGGATTACTTACCAAGTGTGCACCATTCGACTACGCCATTACTTAAGCTTGTTTTTATCGTGGAGCTTGCCATCGAATGGCGCTCGCATGCTTCCTGATAATTTTATTTTTTTTTGTGAAAAATTTGCTGAACTTTTGGATATAAATATAATTTTTATGGCCATTAAATAATAAATGGTTTTTAGTAGGTCCACTGCTCGTTTAAACTCAATGGTTTGTACAATATCCACTATTGATCTAGATTCAACCAATCCTGTCGCAACACGAGTCGGCGATGACATTTTACCGAATTATACAAGTTTTTTTAGCATGTTTGTATGAATACTGTCGCAATTTTTTTGCCGTGATATAGGAATCCAAACTATAGGAACCTGTGTTAACTGTACATAATGCCACTAACCTATTATTATTGTTATTAAACAGATATCAACACCTGTGAGCAAATTTATTTTACATATAATTTCTTAGAATACATAAAAATGCATGGCTTGTAATAAAGAATAAACAAACATCATCTTATTTCATCAGTGCTGCGACAGAGAATGAAATACAAGCATAAGAAACACAACAACTGTGATAAAAATATGTAAATAAAACTTGAAATTAACAGAATATGTAAAAGTTCACGTCACACCGGTTGCAGAACACTGTACTAGACACTTAAACACTGGAAAAGAATGAGAATACTGCTGGATATAAGTATTTATAAAAGAAGCAGCTTACACTGAAAGTTAAATATAATCTTAAATCCGGTCCTCTATATCTCATCTGAATCATGAACACAAAGATTTTGTGTCCACAGTTAGTTGCCTCATTAAAGGTAACATTTGTATTTATATAAAGTATTGGAAAGATGTTTCTGCAAATCAAAAGATATTACATATATGACTTGATTCCTGCCTTTGCATCAGGAAATTCCTTCCTCATTCTTTCTTTTGCAGAATCTGCTTTGGAAACATGAAAATTTTTATTTGCCAACAATATTTCTCATCTCCAGATGAAGCTTCATTTGCAACTCATTGCACATTTGAAGTGCTAGACCTACCATCAATATTCTTGAGCAAAGGGCCTTGAACTAAACAAAGGAGAAACAGTAAGAGCTTTCAAAAAGCAAAAAATAATACTCTGTCATAATAAATACCTACTTGATTTCCTTCTAATGACATGTTCTTCATCACTCCAGAATCAGGTTCAGGCTGGCCTAATTCAAACTCTGAATAACTTAACTTGTATTAGATAAATACAAATTATGGAACAAGATTAGATCATACTTTGTTCTGACAGCCTACTGCAGATGTAAAGTTTTGCTTACCTTCACTTAATCAATTTCTGTAAACTTTTGTTGTTGCAATAATACATGCTTTCCCTGTTTGCAACCATACTGACAGATGAGGATTATTGGATCCATGCACATGAAGTAGGTCAAGAAAGAGAGTGCCAAAATTTTTTTGACATTATAATTGAGGTTTCTGACACCAAGTAGGTTTTGCCTATGATTTGAATGAGCAGAACTTTTTGAAGCTATACAAGGTAGTTTAAAAAGTTTGCAGAATTGATTTTATTACTCAAAAGTATGTCTACAATTGACAAATCAAGCAACCACACACTTTTGACAATGCTGGTAGAGCTTCTGAAAACATTTTTGGAAGCGGTTTTGCAACATCACCTGCAACACAGTTGTCACTCTCTGTATAATTTCATCTGCATTCTTAAAGTGGCATGTCTTGATGGCATCTTTCAACCGGAGGAAGAGGTAGAAATCGCACAGATTGATATCCAGAGAGTATGGAGGATGCTCCAATGTGATCACTCCATATTTGGTCAGGTACTGCTTCACCAGCAGTAACCGTTGCACAGGGCCATTGTCATGGAGAAGCACCTGTGTGTTGTTTTCCCAATGGCACAGATGTTTTTGCAGATGGCTTCTCTATGATGGGCAAAGAATGTCAACGTGCATCTCCTTGTTGACTGTTCACTATGAATTTATACTCAAGGGTCGCACAATCTCCTGGGAGTCAAAGAAGATCTCCAACATGATCTTTCTCTTACTCCTGTCCAGCTTGAATTTCATGGACTGTCATTTTGGTTGAGGATCATTTAAGAAACACCAAGTTTCATCACCCATGAGAATGCTTCACAGCATATTCAACATAGACCTTGAAGATGCTTCAAGATGCCTCAGAGGGTTTTTTCCTCCAATAACACAAAATTTGATATTTGCACATTGTTCTTCCACATTTTCACCAGACTATGTTTCATGTCGTCTCACTAACACAACCTTCAGTGACTGGTAACTGTTGTCATCTTTGCAGAGAGTATGGACTTGTTTGAACACGTTTCTCTATTCCTGACATGTTTAGCTAAGAATGCATTAAATCAGGGGTGTCCAAACTTTCTGTTTCTCTGGGCCACAAGTATATCGTGGCCCAATCCGTAAATATACTTGTATATTTAAGGATCTACATGCCTAGATTATAGTAATAAGTATTAAAACTTTATCACGAAAATAGATATTTTAAAAAATTACTTCTACAGACACTTTTAATTTCTACTTATAAATAGATAAATTTATTTATTATAAAGGAAAAAAACAAAAATTTATTTGAAAAACACAAATATTTGTTTTATTTGGGTTTTTAATTAAAAAAAACGAAACACAGTTCTAAAGTGCATTTTTATTCAACAAATATATTTATAAATAATATGTAGGCCAAAATTGTAGCCAATGACCCAAATGATATTTTTTACGCCAAACTAAAAAAGGGTAGCCAAATTTGGCGCAAAGTTGCCAAATCTTTCAACCCTGAAAGGAGTATTAAATAAAGCTATAGTTGGTATTCAAACGATTATAGACCTAAATTCGGAGAAAGGACAAAAAGGTCAAAAAATAAAGAAGTGAAAAGGTTAAATAGATCTTCTGTTATGCAAATATTGATCTTTAATTTTTCAACCTTTCTCAATTATTTTTATTTTTTTGCTATTCTCTTCTTTCCCTGAATTTGGGGCTATAATCCTTTGAGTCACGACTTCAGCTTTATTTAGTATTCCTTCCTCATTCACACATTTCAAGCATTTGAAAATATTTCCTTTCTATTAAAAAATAAAATACGTATAAAAGTTTAGGGCTTTGTGAAACTTCTTTTTTGAGGTTTATGCCCTTAAAATAAATAAATAAATAAAAATTTGTCAGTTTTGTTTACACGTTTTTCGGGCCGCATTGGAACTTGCCTTGGGCCGCATGCGGCCCGCGGGCTGGACACCCCTGCATTAAATGTTCCCTTTTTTATTGCTTTTAACTGACTAACCCAGCATAATTCTGGGAACTTTCTGGGAACCTACCTACCTTGTATGTGAGACTAGTGATATGAAAAAAATTCAGATGGAAGAATTCACTCAACACAATTAACTTTATAGAAAGATGTTTGTTAACAGCAGGAATCTATTACATTATATTAAGAGACCAATTTACATTTATGTGTGCATTTTACTTCTGAGAGAGTTACAATTTGCATGAGTCAAGTCACAATACTTGTTAAACTTAATTGTACTTATCACACTGATAAAATCATAACAAACATTTCAGACAATAAAACTTAGTTCTTGATATAGTAGAGTATTTGATGATTAAAATTCTTGTATACTGGCACAATGAAGTGACCTTCTTTATCAACATTTGGCAAGTTTTCAATCTTTATTTAGTTAGAATGCCGTGCTACACATTTGCGTTTTGGGTATTCTCCCCTCTTCAGCTAACTCACCCCAATACAGACACCCAACTAGTACATCGCAGAACTTTAGACGACTTAAAGGTTTACCTGACGACTACCGTAAATGTCGTCTTTTTACACTTTTTTACAATGACACAATTGGTTTTCTTAATTTTTAACACGCAGACAAAGTAATTGATAAATAGTACTAATTAAAACTGTTACATAAAATCATGCCCTTCGTCTTAGTTCTTCCAAGCGCATCCTGTAGGCCATCTTTCCAACACTTGTGTTGGAAAGATGGCATGTGTAACGAAAATGCGAAACGCAAATGTGTAGCACGGCGTTCTAACTAAATAAAGATTGAAAACTTGCCAACTAGTTGGGTGTCTGTATCGGATTGAGTTAGCTGAAGAGGGGAGAATACCTGAAACGCAACACTTGTGTTGGAAAGATGTTGGAAAGTGTGATTTTGGAAGGGCATGATTTTATGTAACAGTTTTAATTAGTACTATATCAATTACTTTGTCTGCGTGTTAAAAATTAAGAAAACCGATTGTGTCATTGTAAAAAAGTGTAAAAAGACGGCATTTATGGTAGTCGTCAGGTAAACCTTTAGGTCGTCTAAAGTTCTGCTATGTACTAGTTGGGTGTCTGTATTGGAGTGAGTTAGCTGAAGAGGGGAGAATACCCAAAACGCAAATGTGTAGTACGGCATTCTAACTAAATAAAGATTGAAAACTTGCCAAGTGTTGATAAAGAAGGTCACTTCATTGTGCCAGTATACAAACATAAATAACAACACGGTTTCGATAACAACAACAACGATTAAAATTCTGTTAGTGCTAGACTCTCTTGAGGATGGATTGAAAGAGTCAAAAAGGAAGATCTACACAATTTAAAAAAACAGGCTGGTTTCATTGGATTGACACCTAATGAAACCAGCCAAAATTCTTAGATTCTTCCACAATATTCTTAGATGACATTGGCATATTAAGGGATTTAACTCATTACTATAATAGGGTTTAACTCACCCAGTGCAAATAATCTGATAACCATGATTTTTTTCTTTTTGTGGGTTATCAGATTCTTGCACTAGGCAACAGAATTGTAATTTAATTTTGCAATTTGTTTTATAATTTTGTTTGTTTTTAACAGAAAAGGAAGATGTTAAAATGTTGAATGTTCATGGAATCTTTTGAAAATTTTCTAAATAATATTGCCAAATAATCAATAAATTAAAATAATCTTTTTTTATTATACAAAGTTGTTAATATGTTTTAACCTCTTATTAATATTTATATTCCTTAATATAATAATAGCTTTCTTCACTACCGTATCAAATATTTCTAGTTTGTGGAAGTTGGTACTATTCAGCATTTGCCTTAGTTGAATTTCTGCTTATTATATTTAAAGGTTAGAAATAATTTCACATATTAATTTTAATAATGCATAATTTGTGACTTTTTGAACTTCATTAAAGGTGTCGTCTTTCCATATCCTAAAGGATACTTGGTATCAGAAATTGTTCTGTTGTTTCTAACTGCCATCTTAGAATATTGCAGGTTATTCCTAGGTAAGTTTTCATTTTCTAGTTATTTTAAAATATATAATTTAATAAATAATTCTAGTAAGAAATCAAATAATCAACAGTATAACTACATAAGAATGAAAGAATTTGCATTTTATCTAATAGTGTGTCAACAAGCAATCACTATTGTCCCTGTTGTTATTATAAGGGCAATTATATATTCTTTACTTGATGTATTTTTATCAGAGTTTGTTATAACAAAATGTTTTATAGTTACACATATTTGCATTTTCTTAATGAAAAAAAGTTCAGTAAGAAAAGTTATGTATTTTAACAATGAATTGAATGCAATATTTTTATGATTTTTAACTTCTTTACAAAAGATCTGATATTTGCTTAATTATAAATGAATTTCAATATTCTGAAAATGTTTCTGAATAAAATTATAGTCAACTTGCCATACTTTTTGCTTACAAGTTGCACTGTTGTATTGGACACATCATGGGTTTTCCCAAAAAACACAATAACTATCATTGCAGTAATCTGATGTCCCCAAAAAATGCATCCTATAAGGTGAAAATACAGTAATTAGTTTTTATTTTACCCTTAATTATTTTCTCATACTTTATTTTTTAGGAAAAATATTTTCTATATTATCTTTTTATAAAAACAAAAAATTCTTTATTTTAGGCAAAAAAGGAAATCTGACAGAAACATCATATCCTGTCATCTTATCCATTCTACTTACAGTTCCTGCCATACTTGGAGTGGTACATTTTTTAGAATGGCAAACTTATGTACTGAAATTGGATGTTATTCTCTGTGCCATCCAGCTAACAATCCATAGCTTTCAAACACTGTTTGCACTGTTTGTGATTATTAGATTTATGAGGTAATTCTTATCAACATATTTCTAAAATTGTAGTAGTAAGTAAAATGTACTTTTCAATTTAGGTCTACTCAAGTTACATAATGAAAAATCCTCAGGAAAAACCATTTTCTTGTCATCTGCATATCACATGGTAATTTAAAAAAAAGCAACCTCTGTAAATAGGCATTTGTAATGTATGGAAACGAAACTGTTGTACATAATTTTCATTTATGAAACATTAAAATGATGCAATAAACTATTTGTTAATTACAATTTTGAATCATTTTTTACCCGATCCTAGAATGAGAAATTTATTTTCAAAGTTGGATACACTAACTTTCCACAAATTACTATTCTGAGTTACAGTAGAGCGTCGTTTATCCAAAAGTTGGTTATCCGAAAGAATTCCAGTTGGCAAATTTAAATTTTTGCTAGGGCTGTGGCGCTGCAATCTTTGGGTATATCTTGGGCTACTCCAATATTATTTTGTTGGTGTGTTTTAGCTGACAGCATTGGCACTTTTGTGTGATGTTTATCTGAAAAGTGTGTGGTGCTGAATCAAACGTTTTTGATACTAGATGAACTTTTAAAGTATAATTTTTTTGTTTTTATATTTTTCAATATATTTATTTTGTTTGTAAAAAATAAGGAAATAATTTTTAACGATACAATAGCCACGATTATTTTAAAAAGTTTACATTAGGCTTAACATCGATGAAAATTCAACGTAAAGCGACACGCAACGGAAAAAAATTTCAACACAGGATAGGTTAATATATTTTTTCGTACATAATCGGTTATCCGAAAAATAAGTTATCCGAACAACCCCAGTCCCCAATTAATTCGGATAAACGATGCTCTACTGTAATTGTAACAAATTTCCTTATTCAATTCATTTAGTATCAATATACTATTAAACCTGATGATAGAACTAAATGTTTTACTTATTGTACTTGATAGAAAGCAATTATGTTATAATTCAAAAAAGAAATTTGAATGCATATGATTGTTATATACAGTCAATAATCAGATATAAATATTTCTCTTATATAAACCTACAAAATGATGTAATGGAAGTTATTTCAGTTTAGTATCTGCATTTTGATACTGCATATGTAAAGAAGAAAGAACACCATATAATTTGCTAGTCCGCTTTATTTACAATATCCATACATACTGTAACAATAACCGTTTATTTCTGTACAAGATACCCTTTTATCAATTATAAATAAAATGATAATAGTTTCATATAGTGCATGATTTTATACATCGAATTTTGATTTTCAAAAACTGATATGTTACATGGAAATCAATAACACCACATTATTATTTACATCTATAATTAAACTGAATCATTTGTGGAACTAATAGTATTTTGTAAACTAATAACATTATTTAGTTATTTAGTCAACTATACAGCTTTCTTTTTGTAAATATGAATAATAAAAATATCCAGATACGCACAGTCCAAGTACCCATGTGATAATTGAGCAGATGCAAACCTTGCAATCTGAAAATATCAAAGTTATCTATTCCAAAATTTCGTTAAATTGGCTTTACCAAACCATTCAAAGTTTTAAATGGACAATATTGGCTGGAAAGCCCAGAATATTTAAAATATAATTTATATTTTAAACAGCAAGAAGCACATTTAATTCTTATGCACTTATTGATAAGCAACACACATATATCTTATGTTTAACTTTCATATTGGAAAGCTGACAATTTGTACTCAAGAAACAATTATTACATTCTTCACTTGACATACCATTCTATTTGGTGATATTATTATATGGAAAGAATATTTGTTTATGGCTGAAAAATCACCACTTTAAAAAGCATTCATACAAAAGAATCTTAGCAAATAATTATAGTTATTTTTTTATAATTACTGCATATTTAGTGCATTAGTAAAAAAGTTATCTAGAACAATAACTGTTTCACTGCTTGAAAATTCATTTAAAATAAAGGAAAATATATTAGTATGCCACAATTTAACATTGAAATTTATAGCCCCAACAAGAAAACTACAGAAATTAATTTCTGGTTAACATTTAGACTACAGAAAAAGTTTATTAATCCTATTGGCTTCAATAAATTCAATAATTGGTGTTTGACTATTTGGGATTGATAAGATAAATTTCAGACTGACAAACATAAATTACTATACTACTTTATATCATTTAAATATATAGATATATGTATATTAGTAATGAATCTTCTTATTTAAAAATGGACAACTTGGCACGGGTAATAGATTCAATACATGCTTAATTTAATCACTAAAACTACTGACATCTGAGTCATCATTTTCTTCATCTTGAACTATGGGTTTGGACGAAGATTCTGCATTGGGATCACTGTAAGTTATAATAATTCAAAATATTTACCAAGTTTAAATGATAAATTATTTCAAAATATCTTTATACAGGTAATATCTTAATTATGCAAAAGTGAATTTCCTCAAGTTCACAAATTAAACCATCGGCATATGTTTGGTGATTAGCTATATTACATCGGGTTTAGCGATGATTAAACCATCAATTTCATTTTTTTTAAGAAACAATTTTTTAATTTATGATATATGTTTAGAAAGATTCTTCAATGCTAATTAGGATATTATCTGTACCAGAAAATAGTCTCTCTTCAAGAAACTTACTCCAGAATATTTGGATCAACACCCTCTGTGATCATCTTTTGTTTCACTGCACCAACTGGTACCCCCTAAAAAAGATAAAAAGTTAATAAAAAATAAATTTTAAACAAATTAAATCAAATGTTAAATATTCCTACAAGATTTATCATCTTGAAATATTTAGAATATCTTGGATCCTGTGAAATAGTCATCTTTGGTTTTTCTGGCTCAATTGGATTTGAACTTTGTTCGTTGGAAGGAATTTGTTCAGTTGTGGCCGGTTGAGAAGGTTCTTCAATTGTTTGTTTCTCAGGTAATGGCTGTTGTACAGACTGGGCAGTGACATCATCTAATCCAGGAATTGATGCTAGCTACAAGTCCAACTTTTAAACAACATGTACTTCTTAAAATAAATCTGACTTTAACTTATCTATTATTATCCAAAAACATTTACCTTTGCTTCAAGTATACACATCGATGCCTCTAATCGTTGTATGCGAATGAGCAAATTTTCAAGTTTCTCATCACACACTGCTGCAAAATGGTTAAGGAAAGATGTGGTGCGAATCAGAAAATGATTCAGGAAAGCAAGTGTTCTTTTTTGATGAATTGGATCAACCTATAAAATAAATCTTTGATTTATCCATTGTAAAAATCAAATTAAAAAATTTTAATTGTAAATAATTATCAATCATAATTTACTCAAACTATTTATAACCTTCTAAAATTTCTGATAAGATTTGCAAAAGTATACTCATAAATAATTCTAATGTATTGCAGTGAGCCAAAAGTTGAGTGTATTTGCCAATAATTTCAGGAAAGCATGAGTACAATTATAAGTAATTGCCACTAGCATTTAAACAACTGTCCTCCTTAAGAATTAGTTTATGGATACTTGTAATGAAAAAATACTTGATTGTTCTTAAAAGACTATCTCTTGATGATGCATATCAAATCATCATCTGATGTAAAGTGCTTCAGAGATTCAAAGACAAGGCAGTCCTAGAGTGACACAACAGGAGAATAAGGTGAATGCTAGACCACCTACCTTATTCCCCTGATATGTCTCACCTTAGCCTTCTCCCAGCCAAATTTCCATAGTTTGTCCTGGATGATAATGCACACCTCCCAGATTACACTGTCATGCATGGGTTGAATTTCCCCAGTCATTTGGACTTTATGGCTGTTCAAATTTGATAGAGAATGACACAATATTGATTTCTATTTATAGATTTTGACTGCTCCACCACTCTTTACAATAAAAAACTGGATCACAGCTCAATCAGTTTTAGATAGGTATGTTATTGCATAGCCATCATTTCCTTCCTTTTTTCCACTTTTAGCCACACTAGTATTTTTATTTACAAAACCAACCAGAACCATCACTTTTATCAATATAAGATTTCTACATTTTTAGATTACAGTATATACTCATCTGAGGCACTAGCTAGAAGTAATAAACTATAAAATGGTTTAAGAGACCAACGCTTTCCTTCGGCCGCATTGTAGAAATTAGAATTGAATTATAGAAATCTACTCTTATACAAATTTTTCAGAAGTTACATGTAATTTAGGATTGAAAGTAAGTTCCATTTTAAATATTGGTATGTTAACAATTCAGTCATATCACATTAAGTTTCTCATCTTAACTGATTATTTTTATGAAAACAAATAATGTTTAATACAGAAGAACAATTTCAGTTAAAATACAAAATATTTTAATAATTCAATAGCCAAAATTTTGCAACTAGTAAATTTTTCAACTGGATTGAAAAATTCAACTGAAAACATATGTTAAATAAATAATACAGTAATTTTCTGCATATAGCATGTAGGTTATTTGTTTTTTAATCTGAAAGCAGGTGCAGACTATCCATTCTAGCAATTTTTACAGGTTTCAAACTAGAAATTATGGTAGTCTAAATTTGATCAATCCAAACAATTGAACATGACTATAAAACATTTTGTTAAATGTTTGTCTATGAGGACAGCTTTTTAATAGGACTGTATTGCACTGGTGTTTTGGTTTTTTAAACCAAGAAAAAAAATTTATTCAGAGGAACAATCAATCTTTATTTTCACCTTGTATTATACCTGTAAACAGATATTTGTATTAAGACTATAAACAAATTTTTGTTAGATTATCTGGATGATTTTATGACTCAAACCTTATATGATCACTTAAATGACATAAAATACTCTTGGAATTCCTAAAGTGCTTTTTTTATGTGTATTTTATTATTTGATTCAAAAACCCAAAAATAAACACACAAGTTTCTTAAATTTAATATATTATCTCAGCTTACACCTATTAATATCTACTTTGTGTGAAATTTGAGAGGAAGGTGTTATTTTTAAGGTCAAGGTAGATGGCCAGTGTAGCCTACTACTGCTACTACTATTACTACTGTCAATAAGTCCTTAATTGTTTTATTGTCTTGCAAATAAAAACTCTTCCTGATTTTAATTAGGAATCTGTCAAATTAGGAAGTTATTATTTTATTGTACTCTGAAGAATGTTTTCTTTAAATTAACATTTAATTAACAACTAGTTCTGTTAAATCTCATTAAACTGCAACTAAAATATAAAATTAATCAGCATAATGGTAACCCCAGGGTTTCTACTATGCTGGACTCCCCCATTTATATGTGACATGCTGGTCATTCCAGGAAAATATATAGGACAAATCAAAACAAATTAAGAGCGATTTTTCCCCAATGAAAATATAGTCTGGATATATAACTGTAAAGAATGATTTTAATGATCTGTCTAAAATACCACAGAAATATGAGGCTTCTTACATATGACAAAATGGAGGATGATCATGATAAGCAGTATGCAGTATTAAAATTCTATTTTCACTTGAAAAAAAAGTAAATAAAAATAATAATAATAATAAATAAACAGCAATGAAAGCTTGAAACATTAAAGCAAGTGTAAAGTGAAGCAGTTCTTCTGTTATCCACAGCAATTTAATGATTCAAGGCAGTCTTCTGAAGACCAGAAATCACCCTTCAGGCAGAC